CAAATAATTACATGTTGAGGATTGAGAGGATTTTCAACAAATTATCTTGTGAAAGTTTTGCGTATTGAATTTTAATATAATTTCAGTACGTTGTTGTTGCGCGTATAGTTCCATTTTTATTACTTGTCAAAGGTCAAGAAATTACAGCTTCGGAAGTGACATCCATCGGAATAGCAGGGTATTTTTCCGGGTATTTAGCTTTAGTTTTATTGTTTTTCATTATTTTTGAAAAATTCAATAACGAAGATGTCATGATTCGAATGGAAATTATGATATTCCTGTGGCTATGCAAAAATTGGTTAAAAAATCAAAAATTATTCATCGAAATAGCGAAATTGTTAAATTTCAGCAAAGCGGTTGTGTAAACAGTTTGTAAAAACTTTACAGAATCGAGGAATCTCGAGAGTAAGCCGCAAGGTGGCCGTCCGTAATGAAGTAAGGCAAAATCGAAAGGTACACACATGCTACCAATTTGGCCCAGGAGCTAGCTTGAAAAATCCGAAATTATTGTGATAATAACAATGACTCTTAACAACCACAGCAAAACCCCCCACAAGTAACCTCTCATGGTAGAGTAAAAGTTTGAAGGAAACCCAACACTGCCATAAATGCCAACTACCTTATTTCGACCGTAAAGCATGGTGGTTGGAGTGTCATGATTATCGACCATATACGACCATATTTTAACATATTGGAAAATAACATAAAGGCATCTATTGATTAACTATACCTTGATACAAGCTGAATCTACGAGCAGGATAATAATCCTAAGCACATATAGAAATTGGTAAAGGATCGACTTCTATTTTGTACTCCACGACAATTGTGTTCCTCAACCCGATGCCAAGTCTGCATCATTATTTTTCCTTCAAAATCTATAGGAGGGGTTAACTGTACGTAGGTATTATGATTAATAAACTAAAAATGAAATATATTTCTCTGCGATTCTTTCAAATTAAAAGCGAAGTTAAGTTATTGGCCTACGCAGAACTTAAAATGCTTGGATAAGCTGGGAATATTACGTTATCGGCAACAATGTGATGAACTCCGAAAAATCTGAATCAAACTCGACCAATCTTTGTTCGAAAAAGTCGTATTTATAGATCTATTAGCTAGATACTCGGAACATAGATACTCTTCGGCTCAATTAACATATGAAGTTTGGGAATATGTGCAATAACAATTAACGTTTAAAAATATTTAAATTTTATTAGAACCATTTTCAAATCCCATGCTGACGAAGTCGCGATTAGAAACCAGTTCAGAAAAAAGTACTTTTCAAAACACTGTCTGAGCTCATGTATTCACTGCACTACACTGCTCGTGTTCAAATCATGGTGTCGTACTAACATCCATAAAGTTATAGAAAACTCATTCAAACAAAAATTAAGTTATATTTTCGAATTGCGGCCGCCCCTCGTCAGGGAATGTCAACCACTCCGAGTGTATTTCTGACATGAAATAAAAGCTCTTCACTTACTTTTTAACAACTCTCGGTATTACTTTGTTTTTTAATTCAATTTTATATAAATGCAAACATGTTGACTTTACCTCCTCAAAAAAATAGAGTTCACCTTCAGAGCCTGTCCTTACTTCGATACTATCCTACAAAGCATTTTACTACGATAGCTGGAGTACCTAGGAGGTACTCCCTCTACTTTTCCATCTTAGCTTAGATCATATCACTCCGCTAGATTCTCATTTGTTGAAATAGAAAATACAAGATATTATGCCTTGATAAGAACACCTCTGATGTATCTCAAGGTAGCATTCCTCGCCCTTTATTATCTATTCATTCAAATTTCTTGCTTTTTGTAGACGATTCAAAGCTACTTAAATATATTAGTTGTATGCCTTGCTATTACAGAGAATCTTAACAATTTAGGAAATTGTGAGAATAATTTGCACCTCAAATCAAAAAACGCTTTAACAGTACCTTTTCAAAGTGATATTTCGGCACAACTTATTATCTAATTAATAATAGGTTTTCTTCTGTTAATACATTTTTGGTTTATTACTTATTGGGGTATTTACCTTCGTTGATAACATCAACTGTATTATTCCAAAAACATATTCTAACCTTGCTTTCTTACGCGGATATAATGGTGGTTTCAGAGGTAACTACTCAAACAAAACTCTATATAATTCCTTGGTTCGTTCAGAGCTAGAGTAATCTAGCTTAATTTAGAATCAAATTTATTCTAAAAAACCCTCTAGACTTGAAACCGTCCAAAGTTGGTTTATTCGTTTTTCTCACGCTCCCCACTTGCTCTATACAGTCATCATTATTTATTTATAGCATCATCAATTGCCTAAGGGACTGCCCAAGATTGTTTGAGCAAATCAGCTTTAATGGTCCTGATAGAACTTTGCGCTGACATAATAAATTAAAATTGAAATAAGATCTCTTTAAACAATAAATTGCCTCCCCTAGGCAAGATGTTTGCAATTAAGCATTTTTATGTACAAATTTTCAACTCACAAATTCATATTTTGCCGGAAAACTAAAGTGCTCTTTTCGTTGAATTAAAATATTATTGTTTTGTGTTTTTAAATTGAGTTCATATTTATTAAAGTTTGTTGGCAAAAATCCACTGAACTTTATACATAGTATGTATGCATATGTTTATGTTTATATTCGTATGTAAATATGTATTTATTAATGCAAATAAAATTGCCGCAGTCACGCTACCATGCAAAGAAAAATATAACGTTCGAATTCTTGTGTATAGTATTTTTGTAATATTTTTTTAATATATAATATTATATTCATATACCTACATATTACAAATGTTTATAAATACACGCACACAACACTAAATTGACTTGCTGAAACTATGTAAAACATTACCTATTTACCCGCAATCCTTTTAACTTTGCATAAATATATGCATTCATATGTACATACATATGTATATTTATCAACACACATACAACATGCAATTTGATTTGTTTTCTTGTGATGGAAACTCCACGGTCCGTAATGAAAGCATAATGTGAGCGCCTACAACAATTTTATTTGTACTAAGACCTTTACGCTTGCCCAGCTGGTCAAAGTACATGAAACACCGTATATCAGAAGTAGCTTTTTTCAAAATAATATGAATCCAAGAATGAGTTGTAAAGGGATGCATGCTCTTCTCAGTTTTATTTCGAGTTCTTCGCTATAATACTTTATGACAGATCGGCCTTTAAAATTAAATTGTCATATTATTTTTAAATAAAGGGTTTTCCAATAAGCGATGTTATTTTGATTTTGTAATTGTTTGGCATTTGACAAGTAAAAACTACACCAGTAATAAAAATGGAAAGCTTCAACAGCGGACTGAAATTATTCAAATTCACTATAAAAATTGTGAAAACCTGGACGAGCTGACGTAAAACTAACACATTTTTCCTTCGTCCTAAAGCACCTTGTCGGGCCGCAATACTGTTCGGACAAGTCAGCGAGGTGAAAACACGTGCAAGTCACTAAAGAACAACTGATAACATTGCTGCTGTATCCCAAAGTGTTTGCAGAAAATCTAGGTTGTCCATTTCTCGTCGTTGTGTGCCATATTTTGCATAAAAACTTGGGTCTTAAAGCTAATAAACTTCAGTTAAAATAAGCACTCAAGTCCGCCGATCATAAACAGTGTCGTGTTTTTGCTGAAAAGGTCCCTGAAATGTGTAAAATTTATTCGTAGTTTCATCAAAAAATCATCTTAACTAATGAGGCTCATTTCCAACTCGATGGCTACGTCAATAAAAAAAAATTTCGTATCTGGTGGTCAGATTTTATTGCGGACCTTCGAAAATGAGGCTGTAGCAAGAATGATGGTTAATAATTTTTTATAACCGGATTTGGATGGCATTGATGTGAACAACATTTACTTTAAACAAAACGGGGCTACGTGCTACACAAGCAACAGAATCACCGATCTTTTAGGGGAAAAGTCTCCGGATCGTATTGTCTCTCAAAGATCTAATCGCAAATGGCCGCCGAGATCTTGTTATTTAACACCTTCCTGCTTCTTTCTTTAGATTAGATCTACGCCTACTGGTCAGCTTCGATTCAAACCCTTAAAGTTGGAATTCGTAATGCTATTGAAGGGATACGGCAGCCACTTGATGATGGAAAATTTCATAAAAAAGTATAAGGTGCTGTAAGCATAACCTTGGCGGCCATTTGGCTGATATTGTTATCCGTTGTCCATTATTATTGGCATGCGAGTATTTCCTCTTTACACTGAATTATGCATCCGATTATTTATCTCAAAAAATGTAATTTTTCTTTGAATATCAAAATAAGTCTTCTTATTGGAAAAACCTACAGTTTTTATACTTATATTACATTATCGTATTTTTTAGAAGTAGTGAAATAAACATACATACATACATATATATATATATATATATATATATATGCATTTACTTAAAGATTAACAAACAAATGTTTTGTGTACTTTTTCTTTTCTACAAATTAATATGCAGACAGCTTTAACTCTCCTTCAGAAGCCTAATATAGTTCCAACCATTTCTAAAAAATCATAAATAATTTTCAAAATACTAACACATAAAATCTTTTACTTCGACCAGAATTCTCTGCACATATTTAATGGCAAAAGAGGCCTTTGCCGGCACATAGTTATGTTTTAATATTTTATATATGTATATATATGTATTTTGGTTTTGTTTCACAGTGTAATTGGCCTGGCACTAGCTTTTCAGTTGCTTGTCCAATTTACACTAACATAAGCCACTTGATTTATGCACTACTTATGTACATATGTATGTATGTACAACCGCTTTGAACGCACTTTAGCATGTTTTGACTCATAACTATACTTAAACAGTATTTACTCATATTTTACAAAAAAAAATTAAATACAAGCAAAAAGCGTTGAGTGAATTTTGGCGTTTTCAAGAGTTTTTTCCTTCAATGGTTGTTTCTTTTTTTTGCCTTTACTATTTTCACATTTTTTACATTTATTTTATTTATTTTTTTTTTCTTGTTGTAGCGTCTGCACCTGTGATGGAGAAACCACCGCAAAATGTAACGGCATTGGATGGTAAGGACGCAACGATATGGTGCCGAGCTGTCGGTGCACCAAATCCCAACATAACATGGATTTACAACGGTAAGTTTAGTTGAAAACAATTCAAATCTATTGTACTTTAGTTTTATTTATACGGCTTTAGTTACTACTCAGCTCATGCTCTTAAGTTCATACGAGTATATACAATAATTTACATACATATATATATGTTAAACCAAAATTTCCATTTTAATTGATGTGCAGTGTTGAAAGTTTTGAGAACTTTTATTTAAATTTGTATGAACACGAAAGATTTAAGCGCTTTGTATTCAAACCACATTTCTACCTGGTACAGTATTTTGCGTAAGCTAAGTTTTTCTTTTGTTATGAAAAAGATAAATTCAGAAGGTGAAGGATAATATTTTGGTTTTTGATTTGGAAATTGATCAGACGTTTGCAATTAAGACAAAAATAATAAGAAATTGCAAAAAAAATTAAGATTGCAATAACTAAAACACAGCTCTCAATCCTCCTGAGCAAAACTAGCAAAACAAGAAAACTAAATATTTGCATGCTAATCGCCTAAAATATGTTCGTAAGTTGCATTCAACTGGTTCCGCATTATTTAAATATTTTATGCTAATATTCATATTAAGATTATTTTGCCTTAGCAAAAAGAACTTACTTTAATCCATTACTTTTCCAAAGTCAGCTACTCGTGTGTAGCCAATTTGATGTTTACTCATAGTTGCTTTCCATTCAAAATTTTGTTGAAATAATAATAGAAAAATATGTTAGCAAGGCATTCAAGCCTTCAGAATTGGAGACGATATTATGCCTTTGGGAATGCAAATGGTAGTACGAAAAGCGGTTTTGAAGTGCAAGCAAATAAAGCCACAAAATGCAATGCCTTGTTACTCGGTAAAACGATGATCTGTTAGTTTTACATAAAGAAAATACATCTATTTACCTACAAAACTACCGAATTACGATTAAGGAATTCACATGGCCGGTGTGAATACTCCTACTGTTGTATATATCCATACTGCTTGTAAAGTCTTCTTTTTACAAACCAATAAGCCTACTAACGTGCCTTCCCAAATTCGAATTCTGATATCCAGATATGGTAAAGTAAGAAGTTCGTTCGGTTTTCATAAATTTTTACAAAATATGATAACTTTGTGTACATTTATCCGATTTAAGTCAAATATGTGCCGTTTTATTCGCCAACTTGTTGCCAACGAGATGTCAACTGCATTACACCCCTCTCGTAGAATGTTGCATCCCTATTGACAAAAAACTAGGAGAGCCAATTTTCACAGGCCTCTCTTGAAGCCAACTTCTCACCATTAAGCGCGTTCGCCATGAACAGGAAAAGATGGTAATCACTTGGTGCCAGGTCCGAACTACAAGGTAGGTATATTAGGACCTCCCATTCGCGATCCTGGAGCTTCTGGCGCGTCACTAAAGACGTGTGTGGCCTGGCATTGTCCTGATGTAACACGATTCGGTCTCCGTTGATCAAAGATGGTCTCTTCTGGATGAGTACTGCCTTCAAGCGGTCCATTTGTTGAATTTAGTGTTAGGCCATAGGGGAGCAGATGCTAATCCCACCAAACACACAGCAAAACCTTCCTGGCCGTCAATCCGGTCTTGGCCACCGTCTGGGCCGCTTCCCCGAGCTTTGACCACGACCGTTTGCTCTCGATGTTGTCGTAAGTGACCCATTTTTCATAGCCAGTCACAGTCAGCTTCAGAAACGGGTCGATTTTGTCGCGATTCAGTAGCGATTCGCAAATGGAAATCCGGTCCATCATGTTTTTTTGCATTAGTTCGTGTGGCACCCAAACATCGAAATTCTTTTTAAATCCAAGGTTATGCAAATAGTTCCAAACGGTTTTCTTGCTTATCTTTAGTTCCATGATTTTATCGCAGTTTTCGACGGCAGGCCTCCCGAAGAAAAATTGTAAAATTTAGTGAATTTTCTCTTTGCTGATGCCCATTTTTGACGAGCGCTCACAACGTAATGAGACAATCAATAGAAAAACTGTTAAAAATAAACTTTTAGCGCGAATAAACAAGTTTTCAGCGCCGTATAGTACGACATGATGCTACACGTAACACTAGTACTATGGACAAGATCGCCATCTTAAATAAAAACCGAACAAACTTTTTACTTCCGAAAAACCGTTGTGCCAAGTGTCATCCGGTCCTCATCAAGTACCGTCTTTTTCGTCGTCCAGAAATATTTGAACCGCCTTTGTACCCGTTTCTGCGACTTTCGTTGAGAGAGCCATAGTCAAAAATGGGCGCAGACTTAACTCAAGTTAAATCCACAATTGCGTGCATAAGACTACTACTATTATAATATTAACTTAAGACTACTATATAATACAACCCTGCCAGACTGAATATAGGCATTACTAACTGAACGAACGAACGAGACGCGTACTAGACAGAAGACCAAAAGGGCAGTTGCTTTTTGCATTTCAATAAATACACATCTGATATACATTCAATAAGAAATAAGAGTGTTATATTATTCCTACATATGTTTTAACAAGCCTTTTTTTATTTAAAATCTATTCTTCAGCACAATTTATATATTTCTTTAATTTTAGTGAATTTATTCAACTGCAAGTTACATACATATTTCGTTTGAAAATCTTTCCTCTGCGATCCCAATAGCTAATGAAAATTTGATTTGTGTTCGTATGCTTTTACCGTTATGTGTACGCATATAACCTCTATCATAGAACATTAAAAAAGCCTATTATCATTGTACAAAATATTTGCCAACATTTATATTATAAAATTAGTTTGTAAAAATTTTAAATATTGCACGCCTACCGTGTCTACTAATACTAATGAAATATTTGTTTGTTTGTTTTTTGTTTTGTATTTCTTTTCTAATTTTATTTTACCCCATGCGACTAACTACAACCAACTGCCAATTTAAAACCAACGCCGCCAACACCATTATTGCCGCTAACAACCAACTGCAATCAACAATCACAATCAAACCATGGAAATGTTAACTTAAAAATGCTAAAATTTGTTGTCCAAAACCCATGTACCGCAAAATCACATTAATTTCTCCACTGCAAACAAACCAAAAATAAAACCAAAAACCTCAATGAAAACAACAACCACAACAACAACACTAACGAATTGGCTATATGTCTAAACTAAAATTGCACATTTCACATTGCATTCACCTGTAAATGTGTGCGCCCGGCAAAATGCGTTCGTCCTGCTCAACGCCGACACAATTGCGGTACTCATGCGCATTTTGCGTGTTTGTTGGATTTTCGCTAAAATGATAACTACTACAAAACCAACGGTCATAATGACACCACACGTTTCGCCTCTTACGTCGGACCATATCCCATTTTGAACATAAAATACGTCCGTGAAATTGTGATTACGATCATCATAACTGTCCATACGTCCGCCCCCCGCACTGGGTGGTTTTTCTATTTTCTTTTTTTGATACCCAAATGCTATTTTCGGTATTGTCATTTGCCAACGGCAAAAACAACACATGCTGCATTTCTATGCTGGAAATTCATCGTTTGACTGATTCCATCGCACATCATTAAATTTACCGCAACGTTGACTATTATCCGTACTGCTTTGATGGCATTGCTAAAAACAAAAAACAAAAAAAAAAAATATACAAAAAAAAATACCAACAGAAACACAACTTGTTGAAATATCAAGTCGCACACAAATTCTCGAATCAGGTGATTTGTTAATGTCAAATGTGCGCGAAACGGACGCTGGCCTCTATACCTGTGTGCGTTCGAATGAGGCGGGCACTGTCAATGGAGAGGCATATTTAAGTGTTTTAGGTAAGTACACACATGCTAATGCGCTTTTCAAAAGGATTATTTACATATTTACAAACGTGTGTGAGTACGTGATTTTGTTGTTTTGCTTGTCAATTTACCTTTAAGCGAGTTTTCGAATGTCAGCAAATATGCCTAACACCATTTCTGCCAGCTTGTTGCACTTTTGATTTTTGATTTTTGATTTTTTTCGGCTTTAGTTATCAGGAAATGTGTGGAAATTTCCTGAAAACAGAAGCCGTGAAATTGGTGCCAGTTAACGCTATCACCATAACAACTGAACATGATTATAAGCACAGCTCTAATTAGCACGTTAAGCCAGCAAAATTGAGCGCCAGTTGCAAAGAAACAAAAAACATTTAAAATTCACTGTACCAAAGCTAAATTCATGAAACTGTATTTAACTAAAAATTCATAGTTTGCGGTAAACTTATATAGGGTCTGTTAATATTGAATAAAAATAAAAATGCAGTTAATTATTTTTTGCTCGAAATAAAATAATTTTTTATGTTATGTATGTACTAGTACTTCGCCTGCTTAGGGAGATAATAGTCATCGATTGGGCCTAAAAAAAATTGGCGAGTGTTTTTTCGGTTTTCTCATTTAGATTTAGATTGGAAAATTAATAATATAATTAAAAATAATTATGACCCGAAAACACAATTTTGAAAAAAAATCTAATAAGAGGTGTTATATTGATATTCAAAGAAAAATTTCACTTTTTGGAATGAATGATCGGATGTTTATTTCAATGTAAGGAGGAAGATATGCCATTAATAATGGAAAACAATATCAACCCAATGGCCGCCACCATCAACTAATCGCAAAGTGACTGCTGTATGCCCCCAATAGCTTTAAGACTTCCATCTTTGAGGTCTGTTGGCGTAGATCATTTCGAGGCTGTAAAGAAGGAAGTCGCACGGTGTTAAATCACAAGATTTCGGAAGGTGTTAAATTACAAGATCTCCATCTCCGATTGCGATCAACTCTGGGAGGGACAACACGGTTCGGAAACTCTTCCCTGAAAATGTCGATGGTTTCTTTGCTTGTGCGGCACGTAGCGCAATCTTATTAAACGTAAAAGTAGTCCATATCAATACTATCCAATACCGGTCGTAAAAAATAATTAAACATCTCTCGATATTGCAATCCATTCACTGTAACTGTTAATTTAGCCTCATTTTCGAAAAAGTAAGTTCCAATGACGCCACCGAGAGATAAACCGCGCCAAAGTCTAACATGTTGAGGATGGAGAGGCTTTTCAACAATAAATCTTGGGGTTTCCGAGCCACAGATGCTTATTAGCGTAGCCATGGAAGTGGTGGAAATGGGCCTCATCAATCAAAATGATTTTTCGATGAAATTCCTGGTCATTTTCTTGCATTTCGAGGACCCAATGAACAAAGACACAACCTTGTTGATAATCTTGTGTTAACTGAATTTGATAAGCCTAAGATTAAGGCCCTAAATGAATAATAATAATTTAATTATTAACTTTTATTGTTTCATCCCTCTAAAAGGTATGATAAATAAATAACAATTTGAACTCCGAATCATTACAATGGACTATACGTTTCACCACAATTTCTAAAACTGCTCGAAATTTTATTAAACCTTTGAAAGTTGCTAATATTGCTCAGAACGCTATAATAAATAAAATTTAAAAAGTTTTTAACCGAAAAAAAAAGTTAAGCGGAGTCAAAGGTCATGAAGACGTGTTTTTTTATTTCGAAAATGGAAAAGTTTTTCATGAAATTATTAAGTCAAAAAATGTTGATCTCAGAATTATCTATTAAAAATTTCTTAAGGGTCACCGTTTCTGAGAAATAACGATTCCAAAAAAAATAGAGTTCAACCGACCAATAGAGTACCCGAAATGTTCGAACTAAACCTTGATCTCTACAGTCCTATTATGTTCAACAAAATATTGAGAATTTATCAACATTTTTATCAAGCAAAAATTGATTGGGTATTCTGTGTCGATCATGATAAAACATAAAGCTTCAGTTTGTTGTGCTTTTTCCCATACATGTGGTGAACAGTGAAATGTAAACAGAAATCAGCTGCTTTTGCTAACATCAATTTTTTAGAATAAAAGAAAAGTCAGATGAGAAAATGTTTACATTTTGATTATTTAATAACTACGAGGATGAATTATACCTGGACGTAGGCCTTTCTTCTTCACTTATGTACTGTATACTGGCAGAACCATTTAGTTTATTGTACTTTAGTTCCTAGAAGGATTGAGGTTCTTCAACTGGGCTTAGAAGCTGGAATACTCTTGATATAAATTAGCGTAAGCGGTTTTTTATTTGCGTTAACATACCTTGTTTCTTCCTCTGCCGAACTGGCATTTCATTTCTCCTAGCTTCATTTTTACAATAAATAAACTTCTGGAATGAAACGACTAACACATGGGCAATTGAAAGTTGTTGCCTACACATTTTTAATATAAGCCATAGTTAATGACGCTGAAAGCAACCTGCACTTTTATGATTAAAGACAGTGAGGCTCATCTATAAGATTACGGCAAATTTCGCAAGTCAAATTTCTCTTCTCATTCTCTTAACAATATATGTAAAATATGTCTCTTCCTTTCTTACAATTTGTTATTCAAAACTATGCTTAAACGGTAAAAAGATGTTTTATTTATAAAAAAAAAACTTTGTCAAGAGAAATTGACATCTTCATAATTTATCAAGAAAAGAGCTTTTTATTTTGACACAGAATAGAAAAATTTTTATAAACTGTCAATATTGATAAATGAGCAATATGGTGAATTATTTATCAAGTGCACAGAATAGGCCTGCTAGTATATGTATTAAATTATTTTTCCTGAATGACTGGCAGATCACCGCGCAACCTAAATCGTAGATTACAAACTTTCCAGTATTATAATCTATAGGGATGAAATTAGCATGGGACATCGAAATATACTGACGTAGCGCACTCATTTCAAAACAGTTATCAGTGTTAAAAAAACGGATACTCAATGCGAACGAAAAACATAAAATAAAAACCTAAGGTCCTCTATCTTCATAAGTGGTTCTAATAAAAGTTATAAGCCAGCTTTATTCATATTATTACATGAACGCATCTGAAAAATATTAGATTATCAAATTAAAACAAAAAATAAATTTGTATCAACTGCTCACTTGTAATGCTGCTTTACTCTACACCATAGTGCATTTACAAGTTTTAGAACTAAATAACGTCTAAATAACATTTGCTATCATAATATAGGAGACAAATTGCTTTTTTTCGAAGACACCATGAAGGTTGAAAAATAAAATCCAACTAGTATAATTTAATTATTATTGTTCTGAAAAAATAAAAACATCTCATAAAAATTCAACAGCGGTTCAGAGACGGATTAAAACTACGTTTCCCTCCATTTTTGAACAGCCTTATAACTCCTTAAGCTATTTTCGGCCTATCCTCTAACACGAACGATAAAATAAATAATATATTTTACAGCGACTATTTAATAGCAAAAAAATATTAATATTACATTTCTTCACATATTCTTTGCGTAAAACACTTAAGCGTCCCAAATTAAATTCGCCAAGTTTTCCACTTGCTGCTTTTTTTTTAACTAAGAAGAGGCAATAATTCACCTTTACCTTCAACGTGTAGTATATGTATGAACATATGTAAATATTACTCTCCTCCGGATCTTACTGAAATATAAAATAACATAAACTATTTTCCAAGTAAACTGTCAGCCAGACAGAAAATCAAATTTGTACAAAGTCTATTAAACTTTCATAAATTCCAGCCAATGGCGAAAAGCTTTCACATACCTACAATTTAGCGTAAAAAAGCGCAACGTCTGACTTTACCTACTGTGCATACTGTTCGCCAAGTGCTCGATGTTTATGCCAAGAGTGAAGCAACTACCCACCCACACTGATACCACGTGATACCTTCATCGTTACCGTAGAGGCGTTAAAAAACTTATGCTATGCTTGTATAAAAGTTGGCGGTGCATCTACTCCATTTGAATGTAGGCGAACGAAACCAATTTATAATGAAAAATTCACTTACTCGTGGTATCCGACGCATCATCTAAGCACAAACAAAAAATAAATCTGAATTTGTGGTTGACTTTAGGAACGCAAAAAAAAAATGCATTTTCAACGCATAGCAAGCGTAAAAAGCCACAGCTTGCAATTCAATTTCCTTCCATCGGGCAAAGTTTTTGAATTTCTTTGTGAAATGGCAAAAAGGCAAACCACTGCAAAACATTTCTAATAATTTTTCCATATTTGCTTTTCTCTTATTTCCAATGCCATCGGTTACTAACACATATTTTTATTTACGTTCAGTTCGCACACAAATCATCCAGCCTCCGGTTGACACTACCGTCCTGTTGGGTTTAAATGCGACACTGCAATGCAAAGTTTCCAGCGACCCAACAGTGCCATACAATGTAGACTGGTATCGTGAAGGTCATCCCACCGCCATCAGTAACTCGCAACGTATTGGCGTTCAATCGGATGGCACACTGGAGATACAAGCGGTGCGCGCGTCCGATGTTGGCACATATCAATGTGTGGTCACATCGCCGGGCGGCAATGAGACTCGTTCAGCTCGTTTAAGTGTGATAGAATTGCCGTTCCCGCCAAGTAATGTGAAAGTGGCTCGCCTGGATGCGCCCAACCAACGGTCTATCAACGTTTCATGGACGCCTGGATTCGATGGTAATAGTCCAATACTGAAGTTCATCGTACAACGACGCGAGGTCTCCGAATTGGGTAAGTGCACAAACTTTCAAACATAAAACCGTAATATTTTAGTTTATTTTCAAATCATGTCACATTGTTATATTATTATTCATACGGATAACCATAAGTATATTAGTATTGTATCTGTGTATGTATGTGTTTGGTGGCAAAAGCCGAATACAGTATACAGTTTTAATAATATTTCTTGTGATAAAAAGTTACACATATTTATATGCCGCGCAGGGAAATGTACTACGAAATGTATGAAAATGTCAATAATCCGACTTTGCATCTGCTTCCTACCAGTTAAATACCAGTTAAGTTAATATCATTAATCCGACCTTGCATCTGCTTCCTACCAGTTAAATACTAGTTAAGTTAATCACAACATTTAAATTACAATCTCGAGAGTTTTTGCAAACTGTGATCGGTTCGATATTATTTTCAACCACTTTTTGACATATATATTGCGCGATATCTCAATCACAACTTGACGAATGTTGGTTTTCAAGTGCTCAAGAGTCCCCACGAAAAAAATTCCAACGACATCGCCAAGAGGAGAGATTACGTGGCCGGGACATTTCGCTCGCAATAAAGCCACATTCACTTGAGTCGTGTCGCATGTGGCACCATCGTGTTGAAATGAAACATGTTCTTCAATTCAAGCCCAAGAAAGTCGGTTGTCGTTTTTCAAAGATGTAATATCCAGTCATACCTTCGGAACAAAGAACGCAAGTTTTTCCTGTTGTACTGACCTCTCTTCAATTATTTGAGTATTCTCGGAGCCTCAAAAGCGACCATTATGCTTATTTATGTATCCTCCGCCGGGAGCTGTTTGTTGTTCAAACACCCAATAATAGGCTTATTGGGATAGTAACGTATTCAATGGCCCTTAATTTGTATAAATACCAGGTTTCATTGTCATTATACAATGACATTAGAAAATTCCTTCCCAAGCAAAGAAAATCAGCTGCGACTATAATGAAGGTTGCCACGGTAGAACTTACCAAAAAAAAATTAAAAAAATGTCCTCGACGATGCTCGACTTAAAAAGAAACAACTCACAGTCCTGCATGACCAAAGTCAGCACAAAGTGGGGGCCGAGAATACTCACAACAGCCGCGATAGGTTTGCTGCACTGAATGAGGTTGGTCTCGAAGTATATTGTTGTATGTTTTGTTTTTGAATATTCTTCTTATTTACACCGCTTACGCGATTATAGCCGAGTTAACAACAGCGCGTCATTCATTATTCTCTAACTGGTCTTTCAAATGGAGTGGGGGCTGTAGTTGTTGTTCATATCGTAAACCCCGCTTAGTAGTAGGCTAGATTAGTCTAAGTCAGATCAGAGGAAAAGGGGTTAAATGAGTTGATTTAAAAGGTAGTTAGTGTCGTAATGAGTCTCTGATTGCATGTAGGACATGCGTTCGATATATCGGAGTTAAATCTGGATAGATAGGAGTTTAGTCTACTACAATATCCAGATATAAATGGTGCCAGTGTTAGGCGACAGCTCGAGCTCTTCGTCTGCAATAAGCGGTAGCTTAGCTCCGAAATTCACAGAAGAAGAATTCCGGAAGGTGTCCACGCACTCTCGGTAAATAACTTTTAATGCCTGTCGGTTAGTGTTGCTTAATGTAGTCCTTAAAGCCGAGTACGCTCTTTATAATGTGCATGGATGGTGTTTCGGCTTCAAGTAAGTGTATTTTGGGGTGCTCCCTATGTTAACTTCCTTAAGTCGTAACATAGAAGCTTCGCAATGCAAGAAATGCTCTACCGTCAGCAAGAGGTCGCCCATGTCGTTCCTTAGAGCGGTAATTTGGCCTGTGGCTTCTTCACCTGCGACTCGCTAGTACCCGGCGCTCAAGTCTGAGCAGCATAATTTACGACCGGCCGACCAATTGTCTTGTAACTTGTCAGCAGCGTTTATTTGTCTTTTCCCCAGGTTGTGCCGGCTAACGTTTTGAGGATTTTGTAGCGGCTTTGGAGTTTTGCGGCAATTGCAGCTCTATGCGGAGTGAAGAAGTGCAGTCTATCGAATGTGACTCTCAATGATTTGGGTTTTTTTTATGGTCGGAATTTTTGCGACATCGACTTTCACATCGAAACCGAGCCGATACACCTTCGTCCAGCTGGTTGTAGTTGTAATTGTCTTGCAGTGAAGAGTTGTGATATTTTTCACTTCTTCGAGATAGCAGTTCACTTTCGAACATGAGTCATCAATATCCTACCCATACGCCAATATCAAGCAATCGTCAGCATATGAGATAAGAAAGACCCTTTCCGATGGAGCAGAGAGTATCGAAACATAAAAGTTAGGCAACAGTGGAGAGAGGACAGCACCCTGCGGAACTCCTTGTTTAATTTTTCTAAGTTTGGATGTTTGACTTCGAAACTCTACCGGCGGCTCTGAGTGATCGACGGTGTCAACAGCTTTTAACAGATCCATTGCTACCAGGACAGGTCTGGTTTTTTTCGAAGCCATTGACAATCTGGATTTTTATGGCGTTAAGTGCAGTTGAAGTGCTGTGCACTTTGCGGAAGCCATGCTAATGTTCTTCTGGACTCAGATGGTGTGTGTGTAGGCCGGGCGCAACAAGGCCTCAAAGTCCTCCTCCCAGTAGAGAATACAAGTCTACTGATCTCGCCTTTGTTTGGTGGTTTCCCCGGTTTTAGTACACATTTTCCACTTATCGGGTGTTTTTAGGGTGATCAGAGAAAAATTCAGGATGCTTATTCCGTCGTGGCCGGACGGTTGGTGCAGTTTAAAAAGTCGGCTAAAATAGCTCGTTCACTTCTTCGGCTTCGACGATGTGCGACGATATGACTGTGGCCCAAAGCTTGGTTCTCCCAGAGTAGACGCTACAGGATCTTAAGGGCTCCTCACACTTATTCCGTTTGTGAATGGCAACTTGATGCCGGTTCCCCTTATTGAGATCTCTGAGGCGGCAACTGAGTGGAGATCTTCCTCCTCCGCGGGTACTGCATGGAACACTTTCAAAACTGCAGTATTCTTATTCATATTTTAGGGCTTACATATATATAAATACTATAATTAATAACATTGCCAACTTTTAAACTCTTCACTTCATTAGTTTAAGTTGTAAAAAGTTGCGAAAAAAAAAATTTTTAAAAATATAAAAAGCGAAAACAATAAATATGCAATTGAAATTTTTTTTATACGGTACACTTTTAATATACATACACTCATATATAAAAATTTTGGTACTGTTTTGTAAATATTTATGGTTATCGAAAAAGAAAAAAAAAAACAACAAGTATAAAGTCTAATTTTCACAAACCAAAACTTAATTTTTTCTCTTTCTTTTTGCACAACAACCAATTATACGTACCTACATACAAACCCATGTACAAACACTGCAAACTATGCTCAAATACGCATACACTGGCACGCGTCTCTACACTCGCATATCTACTCTACAAAACACAAATAAACTACGTGAAACTGCATTTCGTATTCTGGGCTAAAAATAAATTCTCCAATCTAAATATTCAAATTTCCTGCATACTTAAAAATTAATGCTTTCAACCAAATATCATTTTCTTTACCTTTAATTTGATTATATGTATTTGCACATTGAATATTCGGTTTGGTTTAATTCTTGTTCTCGATTGTTTATAAACAACGGTTTTTGCCCCAACCAAACATATTGCCATTTGTTATTACAAATTAATTTAAATTATCATTTTTATGTTTATTTATTTCTATGGTGATTGGTTTTTTAATATATGCACCCAAATTTTTTCCTTAAAACCTATCTTTACTAATACCTTTCAAATTCCCCTCCTCCTTTTTTATATACTTATTACTTTTCCCTCCTTGACCTTTCCACACACTCTCTCTCTCCCTTCCTCTCTCTCTCTCTCTCTGTGTTTCAACCTCACATTTTTCTCGCTCTCCCTATCTCATTCTTCAAATCATTAACAATCGCAGAAAAATTCGTAGGTCCAGTTCCAGAGCCTTTACTGAATTGGGTGACGGAACTGAGCAACGTTTCGGCGAATCAACGATGGACTGTGTTGAAAAATCTAAAAGCGGCAACGGTATATCAATTTCGTGTGAGTGCCGTGAATCGTGTTGGCGAAGGCTCACCATCTGAGGCCAGCAATATAGTGGAATTACCGCAGGAAGGTGAGTAATAAAAAATCGTAGTGCACACACATATCTATATGTACAGAATTATTATTTACAGTTTAATCATGATACAAAAAAATTTAATAAAGGTAGTTGAAATTTTTTGACACTAAACGTGTCTGGTGACAGAATTATGATGGGCTTTCGATCGTCTGCAAAACAAATATATATTATATATTAGCAACGCTCTAAGGTCTAAGTAGTTGTTAAAACTAATTCACGAGCTCTTATTAATTAATATATCTTTTATATACTCCTTTATATATATAATGTGTATATATGTACATTTATAAAAGGCTTTGTCCTGAATGACTGAGGGATCATCCCAAAACCTAAGTCACTGATCATACAAACCTTGGAGTGTGAGTTTCGGGTATGACGTAGGCAGCCGACAAATAAAAATTATTCTTCGGAAAGTGGACGTGGTATTGAAAATTAAATTTTTTTTATAAATCTTTCAATTTACACGAAATTTGGTTCAGGTAGCTCTTTGCCTTCTTCCGGAAAGTAAACTTGGTATCGATTTTTTCAGATAAATCCTACTTATGGTTGCTCAGTATTTAAAACATAGCGAATTTAGAACAAAAAAAAAGAGAGTTTCTTCTCCTAGTTCAATACGTGGAAACTATTCTTTCCGAGAGGTAAATCAGTAATTAAATTATTAAAAAATTGTTCGATTAAACCAAATAAAAAATCTTACTAAAACATCTTTAAATACCATGCGGACAAAGGAATTTATTTGTTGTAATTTGAAATATATATTTTCACCACTTTGCATAATTTTCAATGCAAAGTTGGAAAAAAGACCAGACACGTTTAACGCTAGATAACTATGAAGTCGACTGCGAAGAAAGAATGAAACTACCTTTAAATTATTGTATCATGGTTCCAACGATCTTTTATTCCTTGTTTTATGCTTATTTTTTATATGTAATTTTAATTTTTTCAAACGTCTATAGTAGACCAAATAGTTATTGATATTTAAAAAATTATTGTTTCTATTTGATTTTAAATTGTAAGTTACCTATAAAAAAAACTCTTGGAATACATTTATTAAGTTTTTACTTCAAATTAAAAAATTAGTTTAGTTTTGTATTTTACTTAAAAAACTTAACAGGACCTGAATTGTATAAAGTCTATACTTTAAGTATTGTAAACACACTAGTTCGTTCTGTTCGGTGATCTGATGGGAAGTAACAATTGTTACTGAATTTCACTGAACCGCGTAAGGTGAGATAAAAACCCAGTAAAATTTGTACCGAGAGAGCGCAATTTTAATATTTCATTACTGGATAATTCTTACTGATATTTCTCACCGAACAGTAAAATAATATTATTTGCATACAGAGAAAGTACCCAGTAAAATAATGTATTTGTTATTGCAAAAGTGAGCAATAAAGGAGTAATGACTTGTCCGTACTTTTGTAGCAATGAGCGAGTAGTTAGTGTTTTTTTAAATTAAAATTTTCATACTTGGGCTAATTCCTAGTAAATTTTCTAATACAAAAAAGAAATTTTTTTAATTTTCTCTACTTTAAACTATAATTTTTAATTATGGTAAAAAGATTACTCTTCTAAACTAAAGTCAAAACGAGTTTAGGGAGTAATGTACCCGACGTGAGCATTGTGGAGACCGATTTAAAATTAAGTTCATCCATTTAATTTATTATTAGGCAACAATTAGGCTTTTTGAGTGAATTAATAACCACATTTGAAATTTTTAAAAATATGATGTCAATTTTAAGGGCCTCAACGAGTGTGACGGCATAAAAAGGTGCATAAAAAGCTGATTTTTGAAAATGTTTTTAAAGAAAACTTCACCTTTTATATTTTAGCGCATCAAGCGTAGATTTGTCTATAAATAAGGTATCTTTACATATTTTTTTTCAAACGAAAACCTTGCATTCTCGATGAGATAAGCGCCTTTCTGCGGAGATCTAAAAAAAAAAATTTCCATTTTGATATAACGACAATCTGCCTTCAGGGTACCTGAAATGAAAAAGGGCAAAAGAGGCGTTAAAGAGGATTTTAAGAATTTTAAGGTGACCACCAAGCACAATGGGGTAAAATGTGTAGATTTTGAAGATTAATTCAAAAAACAAATTTTAAATTACTAACAAGTTTTGGGTACCAAATGAAAGGAGTTAAAATCCTCAATCATTTGGTGAACAAATATTTGGCAAAAATTTCACAGTGTTCTTGCAATATTCTCTGAAAATTTGTTTTTCTTTTTATGTACACACAGTGTAGTATGTAATTTTTTTCTACTCTTCGAAGTTGTTTATTTTTTTAACTGGGAAAATCTTGCAAAAATTGTAATGAAACACCTTCTTATTCAGTTAATTTTGTAAATTCAAAGTGTTTCCATTTGTTTTTTACGTGTCTCTAAGAATTTACATTTTTTTTCCGCCCTAAAATATGACAGTTGAAACCTTTTATGCGAACATATAAATGTGAATTAAGCAGAGTAAAACCTTGTTCCATTTATATTTGGCTATTGTAGTTTCTTTTAATAAATAAAAGAGTTCATATAGAAATAAAAAATCTCGTTAGTTCTACCGTATGGAAATAAATATTTGGAATTTAAACCCAATTTAATTTTATCTATGGTTGATGGAAAATTGTGCATGTATTGTGAAGAAAGATGTAAAAACAGAAATTTCAGAAGTTGGTCTTTCGATACTTCAAGGGTGGATTATATCGTATAAATCGTGCATAAAAAGTGGCAAGCTCGAATAGTTTCGTAAAATTAAGCACGCTTTCAATGAGAATTTCAGGATACATTTGGTCTGATTGTTGTCCAACCGAAACCTGGCTTTGGGAGTCCTAATGATGGCATACTCGTACTTCCAGGTGTTCTTTCAAAATCCGGACTTGTCAGTAGCAATTACTAAAGTTGATATAAATTCGATTAGAAATATGCTCGTAGTTGTTTTAGGTGCCACGATATTGACGTACAAAAGTTTCGAGACTACGCTTTAAATACAGGAAAATATTTCATTGTATGCTATCCTTGATATAACATGCCTCCAGCACATCAATAATATTTCATCCATTTACCAGAGATAATATCCTACGCCCTGTTACCAATCGGACAATTATCAGAAGAAGCTCGAAACAAAGATTTTTAAACTTTTATAGAACATTTTAATATATAATATATTTAATATATAAATATATAAAGTATATTCAACAGACTTCTAGTCAATTTTGCACCCGTTATATCTACCAAAAGAAAATTAGCACAAAAAAGTGCAGTATTTACCGCAAGAAGCTTTGCAGATGGTCGTGATGGAAAGTGGCAATAATAATGAAATTGATTATGTTGATGATGAAGGCGTTTGAGGGCAATTCAAGCTAAAATGATTATGATCATGAAAATAATTATGGTGGTGAAGAAGCAGTTTATGTATTTTAAATATTCATAATTTTAACCTTAAATGAATAAAAATTTTTGAAAACAGATGTTCACCATATTTTTGTTTCATTATGATTTAAGAAAAAATCATTCAAATAACTCTAATTGCATTTACTTCTTTATGATTAATTAACTAAAAAAATAACTTTCGGGTAACTAGAAGGCTTGTGGGAATTAATCTCCATTTCGAGATCCGCACACTGGGGTAGTGCGTCGTCTTGAATTAAAGTTAAAACTTAGCTTAAAAATCGTACGCTATTTTCCATGCCAAATTTACTATTTAATTCCTATCTAAATATCGCAAATAATGCTAAATACGACAAAATAAAAGTTGCAAATCCATTGGATGATTTGTTTTTGAGTTGCAATGACAGCAAATTTCCAAAAACTATTTTTTGTTAAAAAAGCGTTTGAAAAAAAAAACTTACAACAATGATATCCCGCGTTTCGGGAACACTCCGAAACTATTGCAGTTACGCAACTGGGGCCCAAGTATATTTTTTTCGAAGGTATAAGCTATCGAAGAATGAAAAAAATAGCTATTTTGCGAAAGTGTCACACTGGTTGAGGTTCTTAAAGGAGAAATATGAGCAGAAATTAAAAACTAGAGAAACTACGATACAAGAGCAGAGTTTTTGATATGTTGTATCAATTTTTGAGCATCATTATAGTACTTACATATATTAGTTGTACACAGTAGACCTCGGAGCACTTAGACTTTGAATATTTGCAAAATGTGTGAAACAAAACATAGCGAGTCTCGCACAAGTATTATCGTAAATTAATCATTTAACATCAGAACTAGCAGACTGCCTTTTTGCGATTTTGTACTTCTTTTGTTAATACTTGTTGTATTTGCTGTTTTTGTTTAGTATCTTTTTTTTATAATAAAATTCCAAATGTTTGTTTTTAATTCCTAACTTTTACTTGTATCTAAAAAGCCCTCAAACTTTTGTCATAAACACGCTAATGGAATTATATTAATGCTATTGTATCCCTTTTTGTCGTTTTGCGCCTAAAAATTACCGGCCGTGTAAAATAATTGTAGAATTACCGCTTCACCGAGGTACATTAATATTAAATCACATTTATAATTAAAATATGTTTATATATGTATGTACTGCATCTATTATTGCCAACGTCCATTCATCCGTTTCGTTTTACTTTCGCAGCACCTTCGGGTCCACCCGTTGGGTTTGTTGGCTCAGCGCGTTCGATGTCGGAAATAATCACTCAGTGGCAACCACCATTGGAGGAGCATCGCAATGGGCAAATACTTGGCTACATATTACGCTACCGGCTGTATGGCTATAGCAATGTGCCCTGGACATATCAGAATATAACCAACGAAGCGCAACGCACTTTCTTAATACAAGAACTCATCACATGGAAGGATTATATTGTACAAATCGCCGCCTATAATAATATGGGTGTGGGTACTTATACCGATGGTGCCAAGATCAAAACGAAGGAAGGTGTGCCCGAAGCACCGCCTACATTTGTTAAAGTTAGCGCCATTAATTCGACTTCAGCACGCGTTACTTGGACGCCACCGAATCCACAGCAAATCAATGGCATTAATCAGGGATACAAAATACAAGCGTGGCGTACTGAAATAATAGATGGCGAACCGCGCGATATCGAGGAGCGTATGATAACGGTACCACCAAGTGTACTCGATCCACTCGCGGAGCAGACAGCTATAATCGCCGGTTTGGAAAAATTCACTGAATACAATATAACGGTACTGTGTTTTACTGATCCCGGTGATGGTGTATCCAGCTACAAAATACCCGTGAAGACAATGGAAGATGTGCCGGATGAAATAATGGCACTACATTTCGACGATGTATCCGATCGTTCAGTTAAGGTCTTGTGGTCGCCACCAAGGAACACTAACGGCATTCTTACTGGCTATAGTGTACGCTACCAAGTCAAAGATCGCTCTGAGACGCTTAAGTCTGTCAATTTGACAGCGGAAGATACAGAGCTAACAGTCACACAATTACAAGCCACTACACATTATTGGTTTGAAATACGCGCATGGACAAAAGTAGGTGCTGGGCCAGCAAAAACTGCCACTATACAGTCGGGCGTGGAGCCTGTGTTGCCTCATCCACCAACTAATTTAGCTCTGTCAAATATTGAAGCCTTCTCAGTTGTTCTACAATTTACACCGGGCTTCGATGGCAACTCATCTATCACGAAATGGAAAGTAGAGGCACAGACAGCACGCAATATGACCTGGTTTACAGTTTGTGAAATATCTGATCCAGACGCCGAGACACTTACCGTTACGGGGCTTATGCCTTTTACACAATATCGTTTGCGCTTAAGTGCCACTAATGTGGTGGGCACATCACAGCCATCGGAATCTACTAAAGACTTTCAAACAATACAGGCACGTCCCATGCATCCGCCCTTCAATGTCACCGTCCGTGCCATGAGCGCAACACAATTGCGTGTACGTTGGATTCCCTTGCAACAAACAGAGTGGTTCGGAAATCCGCGTGGTTATAATATCACTTATAGACAGTTGGAGAGTGAGACGCGAGTGCAAGCAAAGAGCGTTATGATCGAGGACCACACGGCGAATTCGCATGTACTGGAAGGACTCGAAGAATGGACGATTTACGATGTTGTGATGAGCGCTTGTAATGACGTCGGATGCTCACAGTAAGTAAAGATTATTTATTCCAATTATACATAAATTTTATATGATATATTTTTACCCAGGCACAGCACGGTGGCAACTGAGCGCACACGCGAAGCTGTACCCTCATATGGCCCACTTGATGTACAAGCTAATGCCACTTCCTCTACAACTATTGTCGTGCGTTGGGGTGAGGTGCCGAAACAGCATCGCAATGGTCAAATTGACGGTTTCAAAGTATTTTACGCCGCCACAAATCGAGGTGGTCAAGTGCTACACAAGACTATATCGAATAACGCATCCTTCACAACTACACTTACGGAATTGAAAAAATTCGTTGTGTATCACATACAAGTACTCGCTTTTACACGCCTTGGCGATGGTGCATTAAGCACACCACCGGTGCGTGTACAAACGTTCGAAGATACGCCAGGAGCACCATCCAATGTGAGCTTTCCAGATGTGTCTTTCTCAACGGCGCGTATAATATGGGACGTACCTGATGACCCCAATGGCGAGATACTCGCTTATCAAGTCACTTATTCTCTTAATGGCAGTGCGAATTTGAATTACAGCCGCGAGTTTCCGCCCTCAGATCGTACATATAGAGCAACACAACTACTAGCTGAGCGTTATTACATCTTTAGCGTGACAGCACAAACACGCTTGGGTTGGGGCAAAACCGCATCGGCACTAGTTTATACAACAAATAATCGAGAACGACCGCAGCCGCCGTCAATGCCACAGATTTCGCGTAGTCAAGTGCAGGCTCATCAAATAACATTCAGTTGGACACCAGGTCGGGACGGGTTCGCACCGCTGCGTTACTACACCGTACAAATGCGTGAGAATGATGGTCCTTGGTCAATGTTACCAGAGCGTGTCGATCCTTCGCTCACCTCTTACACTGCGACAAACCTGAAGCCTTATACTACTTATCAATTTCGCATACAAGCTACCAATGATTTGGGACCCTCCGCTTTCAGCCGAGAAAGTATTGTGGTTCGTACACTGCCAGCTGCACCAGCCTCGGGCGTGTCTGGTCTCAAAGTAGTACCCATTACGACCACATCAGTTCGTGTTCAATGGAGTGCTTTGGAGACTTCAATGTGGAATGGTGATGCCGCCACCGGTGGCTACCGAATTCTATATCAACAATTAGCCGATTTTCCGACGGCACTTCAGGCAACGCCGAAAACAGATGTAATGGGCATCAATGTGAATAACGTGGTGCTTTCAGATTTGCAACAAGATCGAAATTACGAAATTGTTGTGCTGCCATTCAATTCACAAGGTCCTGGTCCGGCGTCGCCCCCAGTGGCGGTTTACGTCGGCGAGGCGGTACCGACTGGTGAACCACGAGCTGTCGACGCTGCGCCTATATCCAGCACAGAAGTGCGCTTGCGCTGGAAGCCACCGAAACAAAATATGCAAAATGGTGATCTGTTGGGCTACAAAATATTTTATTTGGTTATTGACTCACCCCAAAAGCTAGAAGAGGGACGTAAATGGGAAGAGGAAATCGAGGTGGTATCAGCAACAGCAACTTCGCATAGTCTAGTGTTCCTAGATAAGTTTACAGAATATCGCATACAACTGTTAGCCTTTAATCCGGCTGGTGATGGACCTCGATCGACACCTATTACTGTGAAAACATTACAAGGCCTTCCGAGCGCGCCACTCAATTTACGTTTCGAAGAGATTACCATGCAAAGCTTAAAAGTATCTTGGGATCCACCACGATTTCCCAATGGTGAAATTCTAGGTTATCTGGTGACCTATGAAACAACAGAGGAGAATGAAAGTGAGTTTCTTCAAAGAAAATTAAAATTTATACGAACTAAAAATTCATTACCAACCTTTCTTGTCGCAGAATTCAGCAAACAAGTGAAACAAAAAGTTTCTGGTACAACCTTAAAGGTGCAAAATCTCGAAGAGGAAGTCACTTACACCTTCACTGTACGTGCCCAAACAATCGAGTACGGCCCAGCGGTGAGCGAAAATGTTACCACCGGCCCACAGGAGGGTTCACCGGTGGCGCCACGTGATTTAATACTAACAAAAACATTGAGCAGCGTGGAAATGCATTGGATCAATGGCCCATCAGGACGAGGTCCAATACTAGGTTATTATATAGAAGCGAAAAAACGAGGTAGGTTGACATGACATTACATTGTTAAGAAATTTTAACATTTTAAGCATATGAACAGTTGTAAATAAAAGTGGCATAAGTCCACTTTTTCAAGGTATGTATAATAGTTAACATTTCATTGAAATAGTGGAAATATTAACTGGGTGATAGTTGTTAGTTAACTGACTAAAACAGAGTCATCCATATAATAGAAGCTTCTATTTATTTAAATAATAAAACCAATTTTTTCGAAAAGAGTCTTTACACTATTTCCATTCATAATGGCTCTTAAATTACTTTAGCTGGTGCTTGTTACATAAAAGTTTTCTAGAAAAATTATTATGTATTAATTCATACATATACAATAGTATATGCACACCTACATAATTGAACATTATATTAGGTGTAGTAAAAAGAAATCCATTATTTTTGCATAAAATTCATTTCCTTTTTTTCTTTTCGTTTCCGGAATTTTTTTAGTGTTTCAAAACGATTTTTTGTGCAATGTTTAGATAGCTTTTGGGCAATCGAAACAGTACTCTCTTGATTATCAGACACGAATTTTTTCATTATTTTATCGACATTAAAAACAGTTAACATTCCACTCCGTGAAGCATATTTTCCATCAAAATTACCGGAATGAAACCGAAATTGTGCTTGATTGCCTGTAAGTTTCAGGGCCACAAACTCTATTCATATTTTCAGCCGATTGGCTTGCTTTTTCCCCTTATCTAGGAAATTTTCTTTTTGCTAGTGTCTATCTTCGACGCACGCTCAAGCAAAACTGAATCAACCAATCACAAATCTGTCAGAAAGGCTTTGTTAGTACCAAATGTGATCATTACAACCCGAGATACAGAAAAAATGGATTTCCTTTTACTACACCTAATATATATAATATCTAATATTACCCTTTTCTGCTTACTCACTGATCAATGAGTATTAATAATAGAGCACTGGGTCGCTTTTTAGCAAAAATTATGTCGCACTCCTGACTTAGTACCTCGCGATTACCGCCAAAATCTTGAGATAAAAGGATCACATATCTCTATATAATACCATGAACTGTGTTATTATTGTAGTAAATATGGAATATTAAAGGACTTACCAATGGCAACCAAGGGAATTCGCCAATGAACTACTTATACTCTGCACAAATACTTCCTTCTGTTGTAAATATAACAGTACTTACCTAACGCATGACACTGAAGAATTTTCGTTCGACCTTCGCTAACTATCGAGCCTGAAGAAGAGGGCTGCGTGGTGAAACGTGGCGCCTGCAGTTGTGGGCCATCTGTAAGTAAAGGAAAACAGAAATGAAAAATGTATTATTGTCTTGATTGCAAATAAGTGGCTGTTAAGGCTATGAAAAGGGGTAAGAAAATATACAACACTGCACATTGATCAGTGAGAAGAAGAAGAAGAATACATTAACAGTTAAAAAAAATATTTCTTTCGCACAAATGGACATACTTCATAATTTAAGGCACTGAGTGACACTTGAGTGCCCCAATAGTGCCACCCAATAATGCGACGTTGATATGGCAAAAATTTCTTTCGCAGTTTTTCTCGCTCTTCGGGTCATGGAATGTTGATTGCATCTAGTTGCGAAGAATCGCATGGCAGTTAATAGTGTTAAGACTGAAAAAAACTTAAAAGTTACCTGTTCCTTGTAGACATTGCAGTTATTCTTCTGCCTTTTTGTTGGCTTTCAAGTTGAGCAACGATTTCTTTAACTAAATCTGGTGTTAATATACCAATACAGGAGTATTAAGAAAAGTTCGGTTAGTTGATGACTTTCAATTTGTTTTTGTTAAACCTAAAAATAACAAATCCTTTCACAGTTACTTTATTAGTCTTCCTTTTAAATTTTAGAACGATTGTCTCAAATAGAGAAGAGAAAAGGCAAGGTAGTTGAGCATAGATCAGACGAAATTCCACCACCAACGCAAACAGAAATTCGCCATGTGATTTTCTCCGGGTTTCGGCATAATTTACAGCCAATACAAATATTCAGTGAATGCCTAATTGCATATGGAACAATTGCATCACCTTTGAAGACTATTTCTAAGTGATTCCGAAGATTCCAGGCTGGACATTTTTTCGAAGAGGACCGGAGGTCGACCAAAATCTTCCACTCATGACGTCACTGTAGCTATAGTGAAGTCCAAAATTGACGAAGGCCGATGATTGCTAAAGGAAATGATTGTTAATGAATTGGACTTGAATGTCACGACTGTCGAGTAATTTTATGGCAATCTATGGGATCGAAGAAATACGTCCAGCCCCATATTCTCCGAATGTTATACCTTGTGATTTCTGGTTATTTCCAAATATTAAGAAAATTTAGAAGGAAAGGTCTTCAATAGCAAAGAGAACATAATTAATGATTATGTAGAGAAGACAGCTTACTGAACTTTTGTTAATCCCATTGCCTATCTACTTTACATGGCTTTACTCTTAGTAAAATATCAATATTATGTCGATGACGTTAACAACTTCAAAATATTTGTCGCTTAGTTAGCGATTTGTCAAGTTGTTTAATACAATAACTGATCAGCCATAGCGAACATTGTTAAAATAAGTACAGCGAGTATTATTTTAGCGATACAAAAATCATTTACTACAATAAAGAATTACAACGCAGAATCGAATAACTCCAAATAAAAAAAGGGAATTCGAAATTTATTTTGTCACCATTCAAACGATATTACCATATCAAAACACAATTTATAATAGTCCTAAAAAATTTATAAATTATCCTTTTAATCTCAAGTCATTTACTAACAAATATGATTGATTTTATTGATGAACGTAAACAATTATTGTTTTGTCAAATGTTTGTTTGATGGTACGGGCCACATTACTTAAAAACAAATTTTAATAATTTCAATTCGGTTATATTTATTTTGTTTTATTTAAAAGTTGTACGCATGATACCAAAAAAGGTACATAGTTTCACTCAAAATTGGTTTCAAAAATGTTAACTATGTGTAATAATTACAAGGTGTGATCAGTAGACTCACCTCACTTTTACCTCAGTAGATAGCCATTTTTACCATTAAATTTTTATCGTCAATATAATCCCAGAAGCGATTATCACATATTATTCATTTCATATTACGATAAAAATGTAATGCTAGCCATTTTTCTACCACGTTAAAAAAGTAATACCAAAATTAAACTGTGAAAAAAGCTTTGTCCTGAATGACTGATGGCTCAGCCCGCAGCCCAAACCGCAGATCATAGAGATCTGAAGCTAGAGGAAGTGTTCTGAATATGACGTAGGTATCCAATTAGAAAGGATTTTCTGTCAGGAAAGTGTACCTGGACCCGATCTATTCGTTAAAGACATATTTTTGTTCAGGTCGATATCTTGTGCTCGATTTGCTTAAAATTTAGATTAAAAATAGTAATATTTTGAAAGTATTCAGTTTAACATGAAACCCGATATAATTTAAATAAATATGTAATATAAATAAATAACGTAAAAAAATCGAATTAAAAATTTATTACAAGCGGATGAAGTCGTGAACAAAGTTTATTATAAATAACAGTACTATTGTCACTGTTTAAAGCATTTATTATTGATTGATCAAAAATCGAGTTTAAATAATAGCAGTTTGGTAGTTTGGAAGAAGCGCTGGGTAATTCTCTATGAACTCTAATTTTAAGGCGGCAAAATCAATGTTGCCAAAAAAATAAGTTATTGTTATTTATACCAGCTAAAGAAAGCAGCACCACTTTCATGATTGATGGAAACTTCATGGAAGCTCGGCTGACGATGTCTTCACCAAAGGAATGGATGTGCTTTTGATTAGTTATCCTAAAAAAAGTGTCGATATAAATAATAATTCACTTACCTGGAGTTATTGCCTGCTCTCTTTAGTATAAATCTTTAACAAAAAAAATATTTTTAATAGACAAATTTATGACGACTCATGTTAATTAAAAGGTACTTTTAGCAGAGAACGTCAAATAGCGAGAAGGACCGATTGCGGACAACGTGTGAACCGCCAGAATCGACGAGAGAATAAGAGACTATTTCACCACTGCCGCCAGAAATTGACTCTGTTTGTCCACATTCCTGAGCAAGATAATAATAAATTAATAAAAGAATTTTCTCCCAAATATTATATCATTTTCTGTAAATAATTAGATAGTCTCTGGTAGTTCGATGTTAAGTAGCGGTCAAATAATCTCTTACTAATATCGTATAGATAGTCTCTTAGCAATCCCGTAGGTGGCACAAATGGTCCTTCTCTTTAATATGCGTTCTCTGCTTTTAGTACCATTTTCCTCCTTTTTTACTGAATAGAGTAAGCAGCACTGACAGAAAGACTACTAAGTTTGTAAAAATTTAAATTAACACGTAACGTGATAGTTTATTTCACCAGATAGTTTATCTATCTGTCATAAAAGATTTCTTACTTTTACTTTATTTTTGTGCTGTCAAATTCGTTTCTTTAAAAATTAAATTTCAACTTTCTAAAATTAAAAAGAAATTGCAAAACCTTTCAATGTAAAAATAAAATAAATAATTGTAAAACCAAGTCGAATGTATAGAAGGCGAAGTTGTTACACCATATGATTGCTTGTTTTTTCGTCCATTTCAAGAAATTTACACAAACAAAATACATGAGAAATAGGTTTTGACATTTCGAATGTTCATTTACAAAAACAAAATACATTGAACGATTTTCGTTTTTGATTTTACCAAAACTACGATTACACTAACAAAATTCATAGGCTTTTTGTTTTTGTATACATGCTACTACCGTGTGCAAATTTGCCTTGTGAAAAACTTACTCACGAAAAACTCAAGGCTTCGCTTTGTATTTTCTAAAATCTAATGGAAATTTAATGATTTGCAGGCGGCTTAGCAGTTTTTTATAAAAAAACTTTTACAGGCCTATTCTCTCGAGGTAACAAAATTTACCTAGGTATTAATATTTACCTTTCAGTAAATTTTGTTACCATTTCGTATTCTGAGCTCACTCTTACCCTGTAAATTTAGTTACCAGCGAAATAGGAGGTAACAAAAATATCTGCTGTTTGATTTTGTGTTGGTAGTTTTAGAAAAAATAAAAAACCAAATTGGGTAGGCATATTTCAGGCCTGGAATTCATTGAAGATGAAGAAAAAAGTGCAAAAAGCCGTATTTTAAGAAGTAATAGAGACAAAAAATAGCTCTTTTAATTTGTAAGATATCGTTTTCATTCAGCTTTTTTTGTTGTCCAAGCATATTTTCCATAATTAGGTTCAAATATTTATGATTTAATAAACAAATTAATAAAACTTTTTAATTTTTTTATGCACCGTCTTCCATTTCGATGCGTATATTTTTCTTTTTACTTTATCAACTGGCAAATGTAATTTGACATGGATGAAAAGAGCAAAAAAGCCAAAGTTTTTTGAAACATTGTAACCAGTACGCCAGAATACCAAATTCAATTTCGGGTGTTAAAGAAAAGTAACAAAATTTACTTTACCGGTAACAGTGGGAATAGGCATGTTAGTGTAAATTTTAAATATCGCGAAACTACTTTCCATTTTTGTATCATGGTTTTACATACATATAAATTATTTGAAGAGATATTAAAAATTTACGTACAAAATATTTGCATAGAATTATTTCTTTGTAAGTGAATACTGTTTTTGGTAATAATATAATATATTAAAGGTGTTATAAATTTATAAATATTCTTTTCTCTCTCACTTCTTTAATTCTAACCGCAAATATATACACGTACATACATGTAATATGCTTCAGTAGAAAGGGGCGAACCTTCCTTCATTTGTAAGTACATTTCGGACCAAAACATAAATTTCGTGTTTTTTGTGTTGCATTATTGTATATAACTATTCACTAACAAATCCCACCCAAAAATGTATGAACTGGATTTTTGAATGAAAATCTAAACCAATTTTTTTGTATTTTATTGAAAGTAATTTAATCACAATTTTTATTTAAGTTAAATAATTAAGATACTTAATTCTTAAATAATATACCATCACACATATATTAATATATGTATAAATACATATTTCAATGTCTGCATATGTAATGATGTAATGCTTGCCAATATTTGACAAATACATATACATATAACACATTTTTTTTCAACAGACGACTCCCGTTGGGAGACAATCGAACAGACAAACAGCGGTACCATACAAGATTTCACCGTCAGCTATCAAATATTATTACCATCAACTGCTTACACTTTCCGTGTGATTGCCTACAATCGTTATGGCATTTCATTTCCCGCCTATTCTAAGGACTCAATTTTGACACCATCGAAATTACATTTGGAATATGGTTATTTGCAACATAAACCATTCTATCGACAAACCTGGTTTATGGTCTCCTTAGCAGCTACTTCTATTGTCATCATAATAATGGTTATAGCGGTGTTGTGTGTGAAGAGCAAGAGTTACAAATATAAACGTAAGTTTTATACAGACATGTTTTTATCGTGAATTATGTTTTATACTCATACATACGTAAAATATTTTTCATGCCTACAGAGGAAGCACAAAAAACTCTAGAAGAATCCATGGCAATGTCAATTGATGAAAGGCAAGAATTAGCTCTTGAATTATATCGCTCTCGTCACGGTGTCGGCACAGGTACCCTAAATAGCGTAGGCACCTTAAATCGCGGTGCCTTGGGTACACTTGGTAAAAAGTCTTCTAATCGACCGCCCACGAATCTAACCTTGGGTAAGAGTCCACCGCGTCCGTCGCCCGCGTCAGTAGCATACCATAGTGATGAGGAGAGTTTGAAGTGTTATGATGAGAATCCTGATGATAGCAGCGTTACAGAGAAACCATCAGAGGTTAGCTCATCTGAAGCATCGCAGGTGAGATTTGAAAAAAAAAATAAATAAAAAAAAATATATATATATATATTATTCATATATAAAAATATGAGAGTAAGTTGTAGCTGTTAGTCAATAGTTCAGTTAGTTTTCTGGCCAATAGATAATATTTCACTGAAAGATAATTTTTAAAATTTTTAATATATTTTTATTTTCAATTTAAAAATAACCAGTAGAGAGTAGACAATATAATGGACTCCTTCTTTTTAGTCTTGTCTGTTGAGTTGAATGAGTTTTTCAATGGTTTTATGTCCGCATTTGTTCGCTTCTCGACCGCTCTCTTCGCGCCACAAGCTCGAAAGTCATGTGAAAATTAACTAAATCAAGCAAAATATGAGGTTTTAGTTAGGATAAATTTGATGCCGTAGATAATTAAAGTAGTTTAGGTTGATAATAGTCACTTTGTCAATATTTTGCACCGTTATTTATTATAGCCATCTCACGCGCTTTTTTGCGATTTTGCTTAAAACGCAAAACAGTCATGAAGTGCAGTTTAATTGGATAAATAAGATTAAAACCACAGGTTATCTCAAACGGGCTTCTAAAGTTCGGTTCCCGAGCATCGCTCTTTCCTACTCATTTCACTTGAGAACTTGTACAGTTATCAAATAAAGGCTAAATTCAATGTATTAGCTCTCATCTGCCCAATTTTAGGACATACAAGAAATTCGCTTCGACTAAATTTTTCTTCGTATTTATTTATTTTTCAAGCTGAGATTGATAAATCCTTTGGAAATCAGATAAGTATGTAATTTGGTGCAGTTTAGGTTAATAAAGTTCTGGCGAAAATATGTCCAATATCACACTTATATTTACAACACTTCAGCCAAATGCAAATATTTCTGAATCATTAGTTTAATTCTTTTATTAAAAAAATAAATATTTAATTCTACTCATCTGAAATTTCATTAACAAATATACATTTGCACTTACACATGTACATCCATTTATTGAAAATCTGAACATTTTTAATTTTTTATCTTTTCTTCTTATTTGATTTATATATGTATGTAAAACGCTTTTGCATTCAACGTCGCATGCGCACTTTTTCACATACACACATACATATGTACATACTATATGGTATCTATCATTGCAGCACTCCGAGAGTGAGAACGAGAGCGTTCGTTCCGATCCGCATTCGTTCGTCAATCACTATGCCAACGTGAATGATTCGCTACGACAATCATGGAAGAAACAGAAACCGGTGCGCAACTATTCCAGTTACACTGATTCGGAACCGGAAGGCAGCGCCGTGATGAGTCTCAATGGTGGTCAAATTATCGTTAATAATATGGCTAGATCGAGAGCGCCGCTACCCGGTTTCTCCTCCTTCGTCTGACAATCAACAGAGTTTTAAATTTAAAAAAATTATATTAATTAATTAAGAAATTAATAAAAAAATAAAAATAAAATGATAGGTAAACAGTAACTGATCACTTCAAATTTACATATAGTACATATGTATATCAAATCACAAAATCTACTGAGTCTGTACAATTATCGACTGTTTTTTCAAAACATTTTTGAGCCTAATAAAATTTGTATTATAAATTACTGTTAAATTCATGCAGTTCAGATGTGATTGTATGAATTAAGGTTGATGAGTAAGTCGGCGTTATAACAATTCGAAAGTGCTTTGAAATGGCAGTCTTAAGTGTTAGTTGTAAAATTTTCATGTGTCCCGACAATTTTAGTTTTTTAAGCAAAATAATTTATTAATGTATGCTTTAAGATGTAGCGTCGTGTATTTGTTAAATTAGTTTATTTTTGTAAAATTCTTTTTTTATATGAATGTTCTTGTGCGTGCAAATAAAACTACATAAATATATACATATAAGCTTTTTCCGCCGATATACATATCTCATACATATATTAATTGTAATTTATTTTACTTTAAAAAATGTCATTCATAATATGCGCGTCATATAACACAAACATTTGTCAGTGTAATTTATGTGTTAAAAAAAAAAAACAAAAACCAACTTCTGGTGCATAATCAATATCATGAACTTTTCCATAATCTAGAAACATTCAACGGTAAATTGTGATAATGGAGAATTTCGCATTTTTAGTGTTCCACATAAATAAAGTGAAGGTTAGACAAGGTTTCTTATGTTATATTATATATATTATATTTAGACTCTGCGTTTCCTAAGTTGATTGACATGTAATGATTTCGGTTCGTGATTTCTAGCTAAAATTATTTAAATTAATTTAAACAAATTTCAAAAATTGTTCTTAATTCAAATACGGTGTACTACAAACTCATGTCATTACGGTTATTTCATTTTTCTTTGATTGAACAGATTTTAGGTATGAATTTCGGGTAGCCATTTGATTGCCTATGATCGACATTTTCAATTTTTTCATGCTTTTTTTCGGTTTTCGAAATGTTCTTACGTCGTTGAATACAGTTTCAGGTATTCCAGTTATTAGACGTCCGCGATAGCCGAGTGATTAACATTGCGTACTGCGATTCGAAAGGCCTGGGTTCGATGCGAACATCCAAAAATTATAAAATTTAATACAAATAGAAAAATTGAGTTAAATTTTCTAATGCATTTCTGACATGAAATAAAAGCTCTTCATAAAAATATCATTAGCCGTTCGAAGGCGGCCTAGTATGAACTGTTGGTCCCTCAGTTTGTTGGAAAACTTTAAGACGCATAACACAAATGTATACATATACAATATAGATAAAAATATATGCTAATCATTGGTTTCAATTTGAATTTGTATCGGCTTTGGCAGGGTAGTTATCGATTAAAAAAACCACTGGCATTTATTAAGGCCAGGTTTCTCCAAAAAAAACGTTTTTTTTTTCAAACAAATTTTATTTATTTATAAAAAAAATAATTTTCAATCAAAGATTTTGTAGATAAGTAGATGTATAATAATATTAATTGAATTATTTTTTTTTTTTGTTAGTGAGTGCCACGATAACATGTAAAACAAAAAATCTGAAAGCAAAAATCAACACGATTTCTTATTCTGTATCACATTGGCTATGACCGACACTACAATGAAACATTTTTACCAAAAAAAAAAACGGACTTTTTAATTTTTTTACTCTTTTTTCCAATATTAATTATATATAAATTTTTTAAATAACAATGTATATTTGTTATTTTAGTACCGAGCATAGTGAGACATTTTAGGAGTAAACTGCCATTCAGATCATGTTGATAAGTTCAATAGGTTTTAAATAACAGTGTCACCCAGTTGAAAAAAACGTGGTTTCGAGAAAGGGGCGTGTAAAGTACTCGAGCGGTTGGATTTACTGCATGCCGCACTCCGCTCTCCTCGCTTCTATACTTTTTTCTTGGTCTTACGGACCTTCGGGACTAATTCTATAATATTTCTAAGAGTATTTTCTAAGAATTTACAGGAAAAATTTTTTTGGATATTTTGAAAATTTTTTTAGAGGAACCCTGACCTTAATCTATGTATGCATATACTGACCAAAAGTTTTAAATTGATCTCCAGAAAAGTTTTGAAATATTTCTCGTGCATACTAGTAACAAACTTACATACTGCAATTATTAATCATGTCTCTCAACCACGTTAAACGGAGTATAATCTAAGCGTACTTTGTTTTATACATAAGTTTTTAACTTACTTAATATTAGTTTTTTTATTCAATTTTTATAACATCATCTATTTCAATAACTGAAAATATAATAAAAAGTATATTTATATGATTGTAATCTCATTAGTTTTATAACTACTTATTAAAAATTAAAAAAGAAAAAAACTGTAAATAACTATTAATAATGTTATTTTAAACGAGTATATTTAATTAAATTTACAAATAGCTAGATTTTTTAATCAAATGCAAAAAGTGTTTATTTATAACTGTCGCTGTTCGTCAAGTGCTTTAATCTAATTACGGATATGTATGTATATATATTATTTTTACATATACACCTATATATGTTTATGTATAATGGGCATAAGTGTGTACATACATATATGTAAATATGTGTCCATGGGGGAATTTGAATTTTTGTGAGATTATTTTTGAGTTTTTTTGTAAAAGTTATATAAAAATTGTCAAAATGCCAACATTAATTATTATAAATATAAATATTTTTTTTAATAATGGTTTTGGTTCAATGCACAATATATTTACCAAGGATCACACTCAGCCAATGGATTGAAAAATGCACATGTATGTAAATTTAATTTTACACATGTAATTGTCACAACAAAAAAATATAAACAAAGTCATGTATTTTATTTGGAATTCCTTGTGTATTATTAAATCGCATTTGAATATAAATAACAACAGGCACTCGTTCTCATTGTTGTTCTCAATCTACACTTGAAAAATTTCTCATTTTGATTCGCACAAAAAGTAACAATGCTCCCCGACACTTGCAAATTAAATCGGTTTATTTGTCTTAAAATTCGTGTGTATCCATATAAGCTGAATTAGTATGAAAAGTAGTGGTATTACGCGTCTATATATACATATGTATATGTATATGTATATGTTAAGCAGCAACTACTGCCACATTTTAATTGACTGATTAATATTATTATAAATTAATTTTATCGATAACTAAAATGTTGTGAAATACATACATACATATGTATGTGTATGTATTAAGTTAATTTCACTCATTAAACTAAGCTAACAATACGTTGTAAACGCATCCTTTTGTTTTATACATACATATTCAAACGAGAATCGATTATAAACTAATTAGAAGTATAATAAAAAAAAATATATATATATATATTATATAAATGGCATCCGTAAAGAAAGCCTTTATATGCCTACCTAAGCACTTTTTATTTTTTTGATTCGTAGAAAATTCGTGCTGCGAAAAAAATAAATTTGCATGTGTGCATCAACTAGCCTAGATAGATTAGATTAAGTCAAATTTATTAGTCGATTAAACTCATATAATATGTAAGTGAAACTGAATTGTTAAAATAGAAGATAGTTTAGTGAAAAGAATGATACAATCGTTCATTTCATAAAAATAAAAATATTTTTAAATACGCACGAAAATACGCTGATTTGTCAAATTCAGTCTAGTATGTATGTATGTAACTACGTATACTCTGTAGGCAGTAAATTAATTAATAAGTATGATAAATGCAAGTGCGATAAAAGTATTAAAGAAAATCTATTTGAACTAGAAAATAAATAAATAAATAAATGCAAAAATAATGAAAACTAACAAACCTTCTATATTTTTGTAATTGAGTACAATGGTCAGAAATTGAAAATTCTTAGCATACGAGAGGATTAACAAAAGTTCGGTCACTTGGTCACTTTCAACTGCGATCTTAAAATACCAAATCCTTTACTACTACTTACTTTTACTTTATTAGCCTTCGTTTCTAATTTTAGAACGATCGGCTAAAGTGGAGACGATAAAACGCAAGATAGCTGAGTATAGGTCAGACGAAATTTCACCACCAACGCAAACAGAAATCCGCCATGTGATTATCTTCGGGTAACGACGTTGTTTAAAGACAATTCAAACCGTCTTTAAATATTATTTTTAAATGGTTCCGTAGATTACAGACCAAACATTTTTCCGTAGAGAACGCGCCCCGATAAGGTCGACCAAAATCTTCCACTGATGACGTCACTGTAACTCTGGTGAAGTTTAAAATTGACGAAGACCCACGATTGATACAAGAAAATGTTGCTAATGAATTGGGTTTTGAATGGCATGGCTGTATCACAATTATCAAAATATCACTTGGGATACACAAAGAAATCTGCGCGATGAGTACCATGAATTTTGAATGAGGCCCAAAAACAGGCTTTAATACATTTCGCTCAATTTTCCTTAAAGGATTTCAAAAAGGGTTAGTCAAGCAACTTTAGTAAAGTTTTCAAAAATTTGCTGGAAAACAGGAAGAAAGAGTATTTGCACCGTCCCACACAGCTGAAATAGCGAATATTTATTATGGTAATCTCTGAGATCGAAGAAATACGTCCAGCCCCATATTCCCCGGATATTGTACCCTGTGATTTATGGTTATTCCCAAATACTAAAACAGATTTTGAAGGAAACAGGAGATAATTAATGCGGTTAACGCTGAGCTTAATAAGCTTAAAAAGCGATATTTTGAAGACTGTTTTCAGAAGTGTCTTAAGAATTGTATTGAAATCAATGGCGATTATGCAGAAAAGATAAAAAAGACAAAGATTTCGAGTAAATATAAACAAATTTTATATTTTCTGGTTAACTTATCGAACTTTTGTTAATCCCCTCGTTGATTTAGTGAGTTGGGTAACGTTGGCTTTAGCCGCTTCATGCCAAAAATGTAACCCTGCTAACCACTCGAGTATTCTAATCGCGAATCGGTTACAGTGCCAAGGTACGAGTCCTGGTCCGACACCAACATCAGAAAATAGATATAATTAATTTTTCTAAATGCGTTCGCCGATCGGCAGGGAATGTTAAACCTTCCGAATGTATTGCTGATATGAAATAAAATCTCTTCATAAAAATTCAATGGCCTTTCGGAAGCGGATTAAAATAAACTGTATAAAAAAACAAGACTCATATTCAAATTGGAAAAGGAGTTCGGCCAAAAATACACCAAAATCACTCTCGCTTCTTAAGCCCTCTTAAATTCTCGATAATATCGAGATTTGCACTCTACGATGGCCGTTCTAGCAACCGAATATTCTCATTATTCTTTACCATATTTTTGCCGCAGTAGCCGAGTGCTTAAGATCATTACCCTATTGGAGACACCAAATGAACAGCGTTTCCTCTGCCGCATAAGTCAAAATATCGTCTCGCAAAATGACAGTATATTATTTTCTTAGGTCATTACACCATTAATATGATACAATGGCTCAAAGTCATAGTACGAAAAACTGACCCATGCAGGAAAGAAACCGCCGTCCATAACTAACGTAGTTCTTCCTCTTCCCCTGCTTTCATCAGCGATTACTGCTTCGAAACTTTCAAAGTTGGATTGCTTTCATGCATACGGACGACTTGAACTAGACAGCGTAGCTGCTGTCTCTAGATTTACTAGACTATTACAATGTCATCATACTCATAACTCGGACGTCTTATCGTTCCATCGTCTGCGGTATTCGCTGATGCCAATGCGAAAAAGAACGATTTAGGGTTCGCAAAACTTTTCTCTCAAAGACTCCCAAGGCCGACTCATCGGATGTCGACATCGTGAACCATATAGTTGGACTGATCGAAAGGAATGATGACAAGTCCCTCATCAGTTTGATTTTTCTTGGTATTCAGAGGACTAGACTTTTCAATTGCCTACTCAGTCCAAAGAGGCACCTGCTGGCCATAGTAACTGCTTTGGATTTCAAAGCTAACATTGTTGTTGATGTTTATGCTGGACCCTGGATGAACGAAATTATCTACGAACTCTAAGTATTGACGGTCAACAGCGATGTGGAAGCCGAATCGGGAATGCCATTATTGTTTGTTTGATGACAGGAAATATTTCGTCTTGTTCTCGTTCACTACCAGATCCACATTTTTCGCTTTCTTATCCAGTGGGCTTACTCTTGTATTGTACCTTTTTTTATTTAGCTCTGCAGCTTTTATTACATTCAACAGCAACCAATTGAAGAAATCACAACCTGAATGAAACATCGTTTGGAAACGGATAGCTCGGAGAGGCGCTACCCAATTCTGTCTGCGCTTCTGGTATTGCCCAGAGTAGGTTTTCACAGCTGTATAAGTTGTGCGCGGATACCAAGTTCAGACATGGTGGCGTGTTGTCGAAGCAGCTTTAAAATTTATGAAAACCTGTGATGCGTGCCGATTCTTTTTTTACTGATTTTTTCCAAGATTTGACGCATGGTGAAAGTATTTCCAATGAATGATTTACCAGGTAGTCACACTGATAAGGTCCCATCAGTTTGTTGACGGTACGGTTTTTCTGACTTTAATAATATACATTTTTTTTTGTTGGCAAACTTTTATTTCGTAGATATGGGGAGCGAAGAGGAAACGCTATATTTTAAAAAAGTTGTACACTGAATTTTTAAAACTTGGTATCGTTGGAAAGTAAATGTGTGATTTATTACTCAAAATTTTTAGAAAACCTAATTTTTCTATTCTATTTTTGGATATTTCCAAATTTTTCTACGAAAAGTATAAAGATAAAGGAAATTAAGTTCACCGATACCAAATTCGCTGTTAAACTTTTTGAGATATAGCGTTATATAATATTTGAAAATTACCCCTTCGCCCCCTTCCCACCAATATCTATGAAAAAAAAAGTTTAGCCCAAAAAATGTATGTCATTAAAATCTTGAAATATTGGGTTGCTCAAAAAGTAGTTGCGGATTTCTCATATAGTCGGCGTTGACAAATTTTTTCAACGGCTTGTGACTCTGTAATTGCATTCTTTCTTCTGTCAGTTATCAGCTGTTACTTTTAGCTTGCTTTAGAAAAAAAGTGCGCGAAATTTTGTTTACATTTGTTTGTTTGGCGTCAATTTTAATATGGAGCCCACAAAGGAGCATTTTCGTCATATTTTACTTTATTATTTCCGTAAAGGAAAAAACGCGGAGCAGGTTGCTAAAAAGTTACGAGATGTGTATGGTGATGAAGCCTTAAAAGGAAGACAGTGTCAAAATTGGTTTCGCAAATTCCGTTCTGGAGATTTTTCACTTAAAGATGAGCCACGTTCAGGTCGGCCAAATGAAGTTGATGATGACCAAATCAAAGCATTAATCGAATTGGATCGTCATGTAACTGAGCGTGAGATAGGAGAGAAGTTAAATATACCAAAATCAACCGTTCATTATCACATAAAAAGTCTTGGACTGGTGAAAAAGCTTGATATTTGGGTACCACATGTATTGAAAGAAATTCATTTAACACACCGAATCAACGCTTGTGATATGCACCTTAAACGCAATGAATTCGATCCGTTTTTAAAACGAATCATAACTGGAGATGAAAAATGGATTGTTTACAACAACGTTAGTCGAAAACGATCATGGTCCAAGCATGGTGAACCAGCTCAAACCACTTCAAAGGCTGATATCCACCAAAAGAAGGTTATGCTGTCTGTTTGGTGGGATTGGAAGGGTATCGTATATTTTTAGCTGCTTCCAAGGAACCAAACGATTAATTCGGATATTTACTGTCAACGATTGAACAAATTGAATACAGCCATCAAGGAGAAGCGACCAGAATTGGTCAATCGTAAAGATGTGATATTCCACCAGGACAACACTAGACCCCACACATCTTTGGTCACTCGCCAAAAACTGAGTGAGCTTGGCTGGGAACTTTTGATGCATCCACCATATAGCCCTGACCTTGCACCATCAGACTAACAGTTATTTCGATCTTTGCAGAACTCCTTAAATGGTAAAACTTTCGGCAAAATCGCACTTGGTTCAGTTTTTTGCGGATAAAGGCCAGAAGTTCTATGAGCGTGGTATACTAAATTTGCCAGGAAGATGGCAATAGGTTATCGAACAAAATGGCAATTATATATTTGATTAAAGTTCATTATAAGTTTTATTAAAAATGCAATTACTTTCTTTTAAGAAATCCGCAATTACTTTTTGGGCAACCCAATATATAAATAAACAAAGACCGCTTTGTGTAACCGTGCAAGCGAACGATTAAAATCTGAGTTAGGCAGAAAACCACCAGGATTCAGAAGCGAGTGTTAACCACACCTTATTTAAACTCGCCTGCCTATTTTTTCTTTTTGTTTTTTACCTTGGCAACGCTGTTGTGATTCGCCGTATTCTTACAAACATAAATAACACTGCTTGACATTTGGATTCGTTGATTTTTACAGAAAATTTTGCAACATACGGGATTTAATAAATATATAAGCTATTATATTATTCGAACGGCAAAAAAAGTAGGTAGTATGCCTTTCCAAATGTATTCAGCTCAATTATACAGCAATTTCGATGATAATGAAGATTCCCGTTCTAATCACTATGATCAAAACGCATACGACAGTGAAGAGGGTAAGTAAATTATTTTCTTAATTTTTAAAATGTAATCAAGAAATAAATTTAAATATTTGAACAAATACTCTACAACAGACACAGATGATGCAAGTGAAACGGAATATAGAAACAGTCGTAGTAGTAATGCTACCAACACCACCAACGGTGGGAGCAATCATGAATTGAAGGAACAGTATGTTAATAAAAATAATTTATTTTATTAAATGTTTTAGCTTATTGTGCTTTTGTTCTTATAGAGTATATCAACATAAGTTAGCCATACTAAATAAACAAAGGGAAGAACTTAAACTCCTCACTCATCCGGATTATACGAAGCGTGTAAAGAAGCTGGAATATCAATATAAAGATCGCTTACGGCTAAATGAAATTCATCGAGAATATTTGAAGGAATGTGTTGAAAAAGACTACATGTCAGAACGGAGAGCGGCGCAAAAGGAATATGAAGAGAAAAAAGTAAGTGCACATTATTTGCAATAGATAAATTTAGATGACGTGTCGGACACCGTTAATTTTTGGACATAAGTTGTGATTTATTGTAAAATAGGATCTGGTTTCTATTGTGCAGTCTATTTTGTTCAAATTAAATGACTAATTTTACTACACACAGTAGAAAAACTTACTCGACATTAATATCACTTTTGATTAATTTTTGTCATCATTTTATATGCACATCTTATCTACAGATTGATTTGAAGGACAACATCTTAGCAGATTTAGAAGAACGGAAAAAGGTTATAGAAAACGAAAGATATAATCTGGAGCTAACAAATGATTCGACGGAAATAAAGCCAACAGTTACACGTAAATTACGAAGACGTCCAAATGAACCAATACCAGTTGTGGAAAAACGTAGAAAACCTACCACGGGTCAATTACTTGTATATTTGTTGGACGATAAAGAAATCGATAATGATATGAAAGCCATACAGAGAGGCAAGCCATTATTAACAAGTATATTGCTAGAATAAGAAAAATAGTTAATTTAATTTTATATAATTTAATTCTTAATTCTTTGCAGCATCACAACAAAATGGTGTTGGTGGAGTTCCTTTTAGCAATCTACAACACGGGAACTTGCTTTCGGAAACAACCCATTCAAACGTAAGCAACAATGTCGAAACGCGTATTGAAGATGGTAAGCTGCTCTATCAACGAAGGTGGTTCCATAGAGGTCAGCAGGTATATGTTGAAGGAAAGGATTTAGTGAAATTCGCAGCAACAATAACGGCTATAGGGAATGAAGTGGTAAATTTACAGCAGCTTAAATATATTTGGCAAACTTTGAAGAACACATTTTTTCTTCACATTTTAGGTGTGGGTGAAAAAAACAAATGATAGCAAAGTTAAAATTAATATGTCTCATTTGGCTAAAGGCAAGGTTACGATTAAACGACGAGCCAACTGATCCAACGTCAAATGCAGCACAAGTAGCTGCAACACCAATCATTCAAACAATTCATCTACGATAATAAGAAAACATAATTGATAAATTGCTTACAAATTTAAAACGTATGTAATTTTATTTGCGTGTAATGTATAGTTTTAGTTTTAGATATCAATATTTGTCTCGCAGCAATTTACTTATTGTACCAACCATTAATTATTTTAAGGAATAAACAAATTTTCGATACCAATGTAAATAACATATTTATGTAATACTTACACATATAAAATCATCAACAAGCATTAAATAAATAATTAATTTAATACTTGGCATTAAAAATAAGCAATTATGTGATAAATGAATTGGAATGTTTCAGATAGGGTTGATGAATATGTGTATGTATGTAAAAAGTTATGTAATTAATATTACATAAAAACAAATAATCACGAGCTTAATTATATAATATACGAGGAGGATAATAGATATGAATTTAATGCCAATAATTTAGATTACCCTATAAAATCATAACATCTTGTTTTTGATATTGAAATAGATAATATTAAACTAAGAATATCTTGCTTTAATAATTGATGAACTAGTAATATCATTCCTATAACTTTTCAAATTTGCTTAGATCTAATATTCATATACATACATATATACTGGCAACTAATTGTTTTAAGGTTTAAAAATTAGCTTTTTTAATCTTTTGTCAAACTCATGAATTCAGCACAAATTTTTTCATTAATTTCTTCAACGCCAGGAATATTTGGCATAACCCAAGTTTCATCTGTACTATCAAGTACCTCGCTGCATATAGGGCATGTTTTATTATTGACATTCCTATAAGAAATAAAAAATATTATCTGTAAGTAATAATTTTTAAATAAACAAACCATTGTTCAATGCACGGCGTGCAAAAGCTATGCATGCATGGTAGTATAACCTCCGTAAGTCGATCCAAACATATTGAGCACTCATCAACATGTTCGGAGTGAGAACATGATGTAGGACTGTGCAAGCCACTGGAAGTCTCGCTGCTTGAATTTCCACCATTATATACAAGGGAATTTACCCGCTCCATAATGATTGAAGCTGTTATAGGGTTGTTAACGGTGGATGTTGCACCAGCAATTTCATCGTGTATCGGAGTTTGAGAAAGTGAACTACGGCGTGAGTCCTAGAGTAAATATATGGCTATTGATTGTTTGTAATAATAGATGTAGTTTTATTTACCAATTGATTTTCACTCGATACCAAACTTTCTAAATGCGACTGAAAAGTCCTAAATACGCACAGGAATTGCTTGAGGTTAAGAAATTTATAACTATCGATTTTCCGCGTAGAAGGATCAACTTTAATGCAAGCGATTTTTACCATCGCCTTCCATAATAAAGATGTGTCTGTGCCACGTTTGATGAGGAATACCAGTTGCTTACCATTAGGATCAATGCACTTGCGAGATCTGAAAATATTGAATTGTGCCTATAAGTATTGTACATATAATGTGGAATGTAATTGTTGACTTACAATTCATTTAAGTTATCCAAACAAGCTTTAAATTCATCATAGCTTAGAGAATTAATCTCGGAAAGTACTTTGGCATGGCGCACCATCTGCATATGTACTACATCCACGGTATCTGGAATAGTGCTGTCGTTGATAGATTGGACTTGCCCCATTATTCTTTATTTCAGATATTTAGGAATATGTCATAAATAGTTTTAATTGCAAATTGTGGACTCCGGTTTTTCTTTCAATTTCAAAACAATTTCAACACAGCTCTTCAACTTCCATGACTTTAAAGAAACATTTGATTTGCTTAATTTGCAAACAATTTGTGAAAAATTGACGGCCAAATAAAAACAAAACGCAATTTGACATTTCTGTTCCAGATGCTGCCAGATGTACACACATACATATAAATGTGTGCATGAGTGCTTTTGTTTGTGATAAGAAAAATGCTAGAAAACTGTGGAAGTGGTCGACTTGAGGTAGCGCTACAAAGCGGCTTCCGTACAATTTAAAATGTGTAGCCGCTTAATAACCTCTTCAACCAATGAACTCTTATCTCCACAAGCAACCTATAGATTGGACTTGTATGTATTTATGTTTTATATGAAAAGAACATTTATAGAAAGAGCCAAATTTATTTAGATTTATGAAATTTTACAATCCAAACATTACTGCATCTCATACCTTTGCTCATACAACCATCATAAGGTAAATATATCGTAACAACCGAATATAATGAAATTATAATAAATGTTATCTAGACCGGGCTAGAGTTCTCAGGCTGAGGACTTACTCCTACAACATTCCAAAAAAGTAGTTTGCGGAATGTTTTTGGGGCTTCAACAACGAAAACAACAAAGTTCTCGAAGTAAAATAGCCACCTATTTGCAGCCCAAGAGCTCTCGAGAGTCCCACGTAGTACTGGCAGGGAACCAGACTTGATCACGACATACCAAAGCACCCCAGTAGGCACCTAATAGAGGCTGAACCTTTACCTAGGCACATCAGAAAGGGAGTACTAGACCTAAAGGACACAATCCAGCAACACGTACAACAGCCGCTGGACAGGACGGCGTACCGACAAGCACTGAACGCCATTCAAAAGGAGTCAGTCAACACCTCGCCAATACACACATACTCGGAGAAATACTACCACCTATAGCAGACAACGAGCTCGAGCTGCCTCGAGAGACAGCGAGACCCTGATACAACTCAGGTCTGGGTACTGTAGCAGGTTAAACTCCTACTTATCCATGCCCTTCTCTTCACATGCCCTCTCAAAGCAACTCATCTAACCCCCCTCTCCCTTTGGTCCAACCCCGTCGAAACAACTCGTTTCCTGGGCCTACCATTAGACCTACCTCGGCGACTTAGACTGACCAAACCTGTGCTTAAGCGGGGCTAGTGAACCGCTACAACAGCAACAACAACGACATGCCAAACGCATATCTGGCTTGCAAAGAGTCCTTGCCAAAGCCAACTCATCTAACCCTGCTTTACCTCTGGTTCGAACAGTCGAAACTGCTCGTTTCCTCGATGACTTAAGACTTGAACTCGATGAGGGTATTCCCCAAATAAATAAAATTATGTCGGGTTTTATATGTTTATTTATGTTAACAGAGTTTAGTTTGTTTTGTAAAATTTAAGTGTCTGTTGAAAAAGTCGTCTAAACGTAAGAAAAATGCACTTTCTTTCGGGTAAAAGGTTCAAATTTAAACTAAACTAGATATAGGTATTCAAGCGATTCGATTTGCTCGTGATTTCAAAATTACGAAGTCTCCAGTCAGTAGATAAAGTCGAAGAAAGACCTGTTTCTGGAGGCTGTCTCCAGCACTTATCAAGAACATCACTTGATGTCGGAACCCGCCTGAGAGTTAGGGGCTCAAGAGTTTAACCGCGATAAGGCATGCCTGTCGTAAGAGGCGACTAAAATCCAATAGTTCCCGCGACAGTCGGGTCTTTATACCGGAACGACCCCGATTTTTATCCGGCCAAGGACTGTCGCTCCCGCAACATTCCCCAAAAAGTACTTTGGGGAATAATTTTGCAGTGACAACAACAACAACAACAACACTTGATCCAAACAGTTGTATACCTGTAGAAGGTAACGAGATTTGAATGGAGACTTCATCGAGGCAGAGCTTGATGAAACAGAATTTCCACCCGATGGCAAATAGAAGATGGTCGAAATCGAGCCTCGCATATCTTATATATTTGTTAGCCAGAGTACAAATAATTTAAAACCTTGAGAATTCGAGGCACCTCTATTACAAAAGTGGTTCTAATTTGTCGTACAGTGCTTTCTTTTCCATTTATTCAAAGTTCGAAAAAAATAGTGAATGATGTTTTAGTCTTATATGAAACTAAACCTTAAATTTCGTATCTATGCTATTAAATATCAACCAAAAGTTTCGCCGCCTGCCGGCCTTTTATATCTGAACAACCTGGATTTTTAACCGGACTCTCACACCCTCTTAGAGGCCATTACATTGCGGGTTATAAATTTAAATTATATACCATAATACAGTAAAAAGTTGATTTCAAATATCGATATAGAGCATCGCTTGGTGGACAACTTGTGCATCATAATTCGCGGTAAAAGAAAATAGGCGTCACCTTTGTGTAAAACACCTAGTCTGTTTTGACCAACACAGGCTACTCTTGCACAGTGAAAGTGCAAGTTTTTTCGCAAAGCGTTAATACATAAATACTAAGGAATATTTAAATTATAAAATGCATTCTAATAAAATTAGCGAATACTAAATTAAAACTTTCACATATCAAAACAACTACACAACGATTCACTTCACCATTCTATTTTTTTAAAACACAATCTTTTGTTTGTTTATCTTTTATTTACTTTAAAATAAAAACTCCCGCCTGGATCATCATTTTCCAACAAAATATAAATAAAATATTTTATTGGTCACTTTTTATTGAGGACGAGCACCACGTCCGAAACCACCACGGAAATCAACATCAGCAGCACCGGGACCAGCATCACCCTTCTTATCGGGTCCACCTGGAGCACGTCTGTACGCTGTGCGATCCTCGCCGGTTTTGGAAGAATCACCAGTACGGGTAGAAGCAGCTGGGCGTGGACGCATTGTCTCTGAACGTGCTGGACGTTTCAATGTGGCTGGCACAATTTCTGGAGGCAAATGCAAGTAACTGCGAAGGTATTCAATGCCTTCATTGGTCAAATACCAGTAATAATGTCTCCATGCGAATTGCTCCTTAACCAAACCGCGCGAGTGCAGGGACTGCAAAGTTTTGATAACATGTAAGTTTGGAATAGTTTCCAACTCAGGATGCTTAGGTGCATGGAAATCCTTTTTGGCAACGATCACACCCTCTTTGAAGAGGTACTCGTAGATAGCTACGCGATGAGCCTTTGGCATAAACATCCTAAAATACACAAGAAAAAAGTGAAATTATAATAATTTTTATTACAAATTTAATTGAAATATTTTATATACGTAGCTACACTTCAACGATTTGGGTTCTTGTTTGTTTGGGCACAGCGCAGATTAAGCCAATGTTCAGTTTCTATACACATTTTGATATTGTATGATAAAATCAAATAAGACACACAATCACTTTTCAATTTTAAACACATATCGTTGAAGGGATTTCAAAGATTTTCATCGATATTTTCTATAATTTTTACATACTTTAGCGTCTTTTGTGGAGCAGTCACCGGAAAGAAAGGAAAGGCCAGTTGACAGCTGTCATTCTACATCTTTCATTTCAATCATTCACAGTTGTTGACATTCAGCACATTTTCGGTCATCATTGTGAATGATGTATTCGCTGATAAACAATTAAGGGCCTGCACCAATCCGTAAAATTCAATTACCAAAAACCAATTATGATGAATTATGATTTGTCACTATTTACATAACATGATTAGGTAGATGTTTTATATATTGATAGCTCTCAAGTAGATTAGAAATCATAAAATCATTTTTGCATCAAAATAATTGTAAAAGTTTTACTCGCCTTAGATGCATGATACTCTTGTTGTGAACAAACTTCCACTGATAATAGCGAATTGTTTATGGGAATGTTGGTAAATTAGATCATACAAAAAATTAAACAGTTCCAATTTTTTTTTTTGTTTTTTTTTTTTGCGCTACACAGTTGTTTTTATTTTTAGTAATATAAATATGGTTTTAAAGTGCAAAAATTATTTCAAATAGCTGAACTTTTTAGTTGTTGCAGCTCCTCAGAGCGTGTGCTGAGTACAATGAAAATTTTAAACGCGTTTTTCTTAAAATCACATATTTCAAATTATTCCATCCCTATTGCATCGATTTATTTGAAATTTCGACGGTAGCAAATACATTTTTTTTTTACATTTTTACATATTTTTTTTAAATTTTTTTCTTTGTATTAAGCCTAAATTTTTTTTAATAATTTGGCACGTATTTTTTAGTCAAAAATCAATCTTTTTTGAAAAAAAAGTGTGCAGCTTTCACATAAATTAATTCAAAAATAAATGCGTACGTATATTCAAAGACCATAGGTGTAGATCATAAAACTTTTTGCTTTTCTGTTCTAGGACTTGTCCGTTAGAAGAAGTGGGCCCACCAAACACTCACTTGATTGAATGTACTGTGAGAGTGTTGGCTCTAATACGATAATGAACATTCGATACACATGCTCAAGAGCTAGCTTTAGTTGTTGTTGTAGCAGCATAAATATCCCCCAAAATAGTTTTTGGGGAATGTTGCGGGAGTGACAGTCAGTACACAGTAATCCGCAGGAGGGGCTTTAGTTTTAGACCTCTCCTTCTCCACTCACATTCGTAATTCGCCACAACATATACATTATAAATTATTTAAACAAAAAAATATTAAAAATCTAATAACTAAATGACTGGCACTTATGGCTCAAGTACCCAATAAATCTTAATTATTAGCCAACACGTAGGTGACCAAAGCCTCATTTAAATTTTCATTTCCTGTGTTTAGTCATATCAATTCTCTTAATAAAGGGTTAGTCTGCTATTCCGCTAGATGTCACTTTTAAGGTTGCAATTTTTCTTAGTTTTGACTAGTGAAAACTATGACAGTAATTAAAATGGAACGATATACACCCGTCAACAACGCATTGAAATTATTGAAATTCGGTATAAAAATGGTTAAACCCTCACAGAGACGTGTCGTTGTTGATTGGGCCTTTGAAATGACAACGACCCTGGATTTCATCGAAAAGTCATCTTAACTAATGAGCACCGTCAACTATGTCAATAATCAAAACTGTCGCGTCTGGAGCACTGAAAACCCAAGATTTCTTGTTGAAAAGCCTATCCATCCTCCACGTTTAACGGTGCAGTTAATGGACCGTCGGTGTCATTGATCACCCTTTCGAAAATGAGGCTGGAGCAACAGTTACAGTGAATGGATTGCGCTATCGAGAGATTGAGAAGATGGCCGGAATTGGATGGTCTTGATCTGGACAACGTTTACTTTCAACAGCTCTTATTTGTAAACTCTTTATAACGAGCTTTAAAACCACCACCAAGGGAGAAGACGCACTTGAATTTTCATTACCGGAGGTTATTCCTTTCTATACGAGGTACAGGGGCGATCAATTTCCGTCTCTTTATGATTCTGGGAGAAAATTTGATATATGCTTGATTCCCATAACTCATAATGCGCAGATGCCATTAATTAGTTCTCTCATTGTTTTAGTGGAGCAGAAAAGAAAGAGCAAAAGTACAACACCGTTTCACAAACGGTCCCTCATACCAGCGATTCAACGGCAACGGCTTACAAGATTTGACTTCTATGTCAGGAAAACACTTTGAGTGCTAGAAATTCCTTTTCGTGTGGCGACCGGAATTAGAAAAATTACTATTTTTTAATTGAGGATGCTAGTCGATGCTTGGGCTGCAGAACGGCGGTACGCCATGTTACTCACTTGGCTATTGCTTGACTATAAAACATAGAATATAAACGCCAATCAAATATATGTATGTAGATGATCTATCCTGATAGTAAATTATTTCTTACTAAATTTAAAATTTGTTTATAAAAGTCAATACTGGCAACCTTGTATAAGCACGAGAATGAGCTGAGTTGACGCTGGTTTCTACAGTACAAATGTCGTTAGCGGTCAGCCGCTATGTTTTTGGCTGATTCGCATTGCATTGCATTGGACTGAGTAGCAATTGGACTGAGTAGCAATTGGACTGAGTAAACATTGGGCTGAGTAGGCAATTGACATATGTATATATAAAGACTCCTCTTGACGAAGAAAAACCAAACTTTACAAGTCGCTCATCATACCCATCCTGCAGATGGTTCGTAGATCTAGAGACGATGGCAACATTTGAATTCAGTCGCCATTCGACAGAAAGTTTTTGAGAAATATTACTAGTGCACCATTTTTTCCTTTGCAGGGGATGATATCAGTTAGCAGTGCAATTTTGTTGCACCCTGTACAAACCATCTACGCAAAAGAACTTGCACTGATTATTTGACCGATGGTTATTCCATGGACTTTGATAGCAAAACTTTTGCAGGTGATTATCGAATAAGACTTACTTGATTACCTCACTGATTGACGATTACGCTCGGAGCGCAAAATTCCGTTTTGTACAAAAATAATAATAATATATTTCTAAACTTCTTACAAGTGCTACATTTGTTCATACATATACGAGGTGTGATCAGATAATATCCGTTATTTTCAAATTTCGTGAGTTACGTATGTATGTTCGATTTTCGCTTTTTTTCTGTTATCTTGGTACACATGTCCGTTATATATGTATATATTTTTAACCGGTTTAAGAAAAGCTGAAAAGATGGCAATGACAATGCTCGTCCTGGTCGTCCGCGCAAAAAAATTTGACGGTTTTGCTCACTGTTTTCTTTGACTGGAATGGCGTGCTGCATCATGAATTCTTGCCGCAAGGTCGTACGGTCAATTAAGAATACTACTCACTCATCGATGTTTATGTGTGAGTCTTTAGCCAAAAACAAAACCGTATTCACCGGACTTGGTGCCCGCTGACTTTTTCCTCTTCCGAAAACTGAAGACACCGATGAAAGGAAAGCGTTTTGCTACGATTGAAGAGATAAAGTACTTTGGGGAATAATTTTGCGGTTACAACAACAACAACAACAACAACAGGAGATAAAAGAAAAATCGGAACAGGAAAAAAATGCTTGCATATGTGTATTATGTATGACGGGGATTACTTTGAAGGAGACAATATAGTTATTGATGAATAAATAAATACTTTTTGAAAAAATTGAAAATAACGGTTATTATCTGATCACATCTCGTATACATATGTTTTTAAGGATACATATTAAAAAAACTGATTTCATATACATATTAGTATGTCTCATACCCCTATATTTTGTTGATATAATATATAATTAAAGTTAAGAACTTTATTGATTTATTGTTGGAAATGTATGTACTCATAAAAATAATAAAATTTATTTATCAGGTGTACAACTTTGCTTCCGCCGTTTTCCAATAGGTGGCTGTACCGGCTGAGGCTGGTTGAAATAGATAGATGATAATGCCTTTAAAGTGAGTGTGGACAGTGCCTAACGAATTGTCATCGCCGTTTCAGTGACAGTTGTTCTTGTTTTCGTATTATTCATGTTCGAAAATGTCCGCTTATGTGCCTAATTCTCTCCATTTGCGGGAAGTTTTACTTTTCTGTTACAATTCGAAAAAAAAAACGCAGCTGAAGCGCATCGAATGCTCTCAGAAACTTACGGTGATGCTGCTCTGATTGAAAGAACGTGTCGGGAGTGGTTTCAACGTTTTAAAAATAGTGATTTCGATGTCGAAGACAAACATGGTGGTTATGATTTGTATTTGGTGGGATCAGCTCGTTGTGATTTACTACGAGCTCTTAAAATCGGGTGAAACCATCACAGGAGTTCGCTACCGAACGCATTTGATGCGTCTTAGTCGCGCGCTAAAAGAAAAGCGGCCACAATATCAAGAGCGTCATGACAAAGTCATTCTCCAACACGACAATGCTCGGCCTCACGTCGCAAAAGTGGTGAAAAAGTACCTGGAAACTCTGAAATGGGAAGTCTTGCCCCACCCGCCGTATTTCCCAGATGTCGCTGCTTCTGACTTCCACCCATTCCGTTCGATGGCACACGGCCTGGCAGATCAACATTTCAATCCTTCGAAGAATTGGAAAAATGGATTGGTTCATGGATAGCGTCAAAAGAGGACTCCGTTGTTTACCTGCAACGATATTAAATAAACAAGACAGAGTGACGAGACGAATCGCTTTAACAGCAGTCAGCGAGCAACACTGTACAGTTATATAATGTTAAATGCTAAAATTGGAGTATGCTGTTAATCACATAGCAATCAGACATTTTAAAATTAACGTTAACGATTTCATTTTTTTCGGTAAAACGGTGCCGAAACGAAACAAAAACTTTTGGTTTATTTTTTTTTTATAATAAAACGAAATGAAATCGTTTCGTTAGTTGATCATCTCTGAGTTGTACCTTATAAAAAAACTAATTCAAAATACCTTATCCCTCTTAGAATATTAGTGAAGCAGAAAACTTACTTAGTAATAAAATGAAACATAGAATATTTTTGAATTTAATCTGCGGTCACGTTTTTGAGGAGCAATACAGTTAGCAGGTGATTTCCGGCAGAGTTTACCAGCCGTGTTCAAGTGAACGCGAGTGAAGTTAAATCATGCGTAGAGCCTTCAGCGAAAAAACTGAGCGTCGTCAAAGATATGAGAGGCTATTTAAGAGGGGATGTTATTG